ATATTGGTATGATATAGATTTGTCATTTGTATCCTATGTTAGTGTAAATATTATAACAAGAGAAAAAAGAAAAAGAAGGGATGAACACTAATCTTGTGATACAGAGATTGATGCTTATGATATAGAGATCTTTTTAAGGCTAAATAATGAATAGTTCAAACATGCAAGTCTTGATCTTTAAGGAATCTGTATCCATGGTTCCCCAACATTCATGTGTTCTTTTATTGAATTTTTAATCTTATGTAGATAAGTAAAAGATCATATTTTTGTTTATTCAATGTCACTACTGCTTGAGATCATTACTCTTTAAGTCTCCATTTCCTTAGTAGTTAGCAAAATTTGAAACTTCAAGCTCTTGGACTTGTTGCTTGGTTCGACCTCATTTGGATATCATTGATAGATGTTCTATTCATATGTTTGAAAATAAAGGGCTCTTATTCAATGGAAATGTGGTTCAACTGACTCTTTGTTTGTCTTGATTTGAAACTAATACTTGACTGACAATGGCTTCATCCACCATGGTCAGCTGAAGATGATTGTCGGACCACCGTGCTTGAGCGTGCGCGAGATGTTGGTGCTTCAATGTTCGAAAAACTCAACAGCCTCTTCCTTCATTTATTACTTTTTTGTTAATGCTTTAGGAGCATTTTGGTTAGGATAACACAAAGTAAAATGAATAAAATAAAAAGCTCGGTCCTTGAAGAGTATTTAATCCTTGGGACTAATTTCCTTTTCAACTTGGTCTTTTTGACCAATTTTCCCTATATTTAATATCGCTATGTTTATGAAACACTAAACTAAGAGAAAATATAATAATAAATGAAATGTAATATTAAAACAAGTATAGTTAATGAAATATTATTTTTTATCAAGGTATTTTATATTTTGTACAAAATAAATTGGAAGAATACACAGCACTAATTTAATCCTACAAGAATAAGGATTTTATTGATATACAAATTATTGTTAAAAGTTGTTTATATTTTAGATAAGAAATATGACTTAAACATACAATTGCCTAATATTAATGGGTTAATGAGTAAAATGGACCTTGAAGTATTGAGCAAAAAGTGTCTTAAACCCTAAACTCTTAAAATGTGTAAAATGAACGCTAAACTTTTAAATTCATAGCAAATTAAACCTCACTATTAACTCACTATTAACACCATTACTATTCACTCAATGGGGCCCAGTCAAAATATTGATGTGTCATTTTTAATTAGCACCATAGACCCTAAATAATTACACGAGTAGCATCTTAAACTTTGAAATTCAGAGCAAATTACCCACACTGTTTATGTATAAAATGCCGATTATTATATAAACTAAATTAGCCTTAGCATAATCCATTGTGGTGATTGCATCGTTCGCTGTGGAAAACTATTCATAATTTTGTAAAATAACTTTTTTGCCCCTTTTTTATAATGTTTTTCAAGCGATTGGTATATCATGCTTTCACATCATTTATAACTTTAATTTAGTCTCAGTTTAAATAATGTTTATTTATTTAATGATAAAAATTTAGGATTTCATTTGAAAAAAAAAAGTTTCAATATCAAAAAATTTCACAAACGATGGATGTGACACTTGACAATTTTATCAACGAATTTCAAATCCAAATTTACTAGTAATTAAAATCTTAAACTTCTTTTTAAATGGGATCCTAAATTTTTACCATTAAAGAAATAAACATTATTTAAAATAAGATTAAATTAAAGTTCTAAAGTATATGAAAGCATGAGATATCAATTGTTTGAAAAACATTGCAAAGAAGGGGGAAAAAAAATCATTTTACAAAATCATGGGTCGTTCCATGTAGCCAACAGTGCATTCACCGTGGCAGACCACATTGAAACTAATTTGATCTACATAATAGTCAGTATTTTACACATAAAATGGTGGTAATTTGCTATAAATTTCAAAGTTTAGGAGGTAATTTATTCTGAATTTTGAAGTTCTAGGTCTAAGATACTCTCATGCAATAAGGGTTTATGGTGCTAATTAAGAATGACACATTAACAGTTTGACTGGGTCCTACTGAATGAACGGTAATGGCATTAATGGTGAATTAACAGTGAGGTTTAATTTGCTATAAATTTAAAAGTTTAGGATTCATTTTACATATTTTAAGAGTTTAAAGTTTATGGTGCTTTTTACACAATATTTCATAGTTCATTTTACTCATTAACCCAATCTTAATTTATTATTTGAATTGAATAATGTATGAGCTAATTAAAATTTCTTTGCCAATCTAAAAATTGTTAATTGAAACCGGAAAAAAATTAAACAGTTAATTAAAAGAAAAAATCGAAGCTGAACTATTCTTGGTCAATATACAAGGCAATCGTAAATTTTATATTTTTTTAAAAGAAAATGTTCTTATATTTCTTTTGCAAGTATTGGAAGGCGAGTGAATATTTAAATATAAAAACAATTAGGTCTCTCACTGAATATTTAAAACGAAATTCATTCACCCAAAAAAATTCAAGCTTGATTCGTTACAAGTTACATCCACAGTAAATAATAAATTATGAACATGGATTGAAATATCAACCTCTATTAATTATTTTCTACCTGTATTGATGAAAAATAGTCAATGGCTAATTAATTTTCTTCAGGACATTAGTGGTTTTCTGGCGGATAATATTTACAGTACGATTTATTACAAATGATGTGTCTAATTCAATGAGTTAATTTACTCCCTTCTCACTATAATATATGACATCTTTTATAAATCTTACTTGATTCAAAATATTGGTTATCATATAATTTTTATAATTATTTTTTTAACTATACTCTTACTTTATTTATTATTTTTTTAAAATAATTTCTTAACATTTGAACTAACATTATTTAGAATTATAAATTAATTATCAATACTATATATTTTTATTCCATCGAGTATGTAACTTCAATTTTGTGAGTTACTTGTATCTTTTACTTTATTGTGAGCTATTTCATTTTGGCCAAAAAAAGATTAACTATTGCACTGCATGAATCTCTGGTATATCTTCAAAGATGCCCATGCCTGAATCATAGTCTCAATCATAGTCTCAATCTTATTTTTAAAAATAGTATATTTACTAATTTCAAACGCAAAAATTTAAATCATGGAAATAAAATTAAATTTTTAACTATTAACGAAATTATGTAAACTAATGCAATAATTTAAACTTATACGTGCATTTTAACTACATAACCATAATAAGAATAGCAAGTTAGCAGCACAAAAGTCAAATATGTAGCGGAAATAAATCCTCTTACTTGCAACTACTTATGAGAAATAAGTAAATAAATATATCGCAAAAATTAAATGTCACAGCACAATAAGAGACATTGGAATTTTTAACGTTGAAAATCTGTTAATATAAAAATAAAAACCACTTACTCAAATATAAAAACAATTGTTAATAATCAGTCAAAGAATCAAAACAATAGGCTTATAATATATATAATAAAAGAAATGAAAAACACCCAAAAATAAAGTTCAATGTAAATATAATTGCTCCCATACCAGGCAATAAATCACCTCTAATTTAGATAAGACCTCACTCTTAAATCCTGATATGACCTCCCTCCATTTTCGTAGATGAGACCTATAAGTTATAATGATATTTTAATTTTGGAAATTTCTCTACATAGAAAAGGAACCTACACCCAACATAACATTTTCAGTTAAAAAATAATAACTTTCATAAACTTATATTATTTTAGCCAAAAATAAGAAAATTATATTATTAAAGGAGAATTACGTTAAAGTTTTACATAAAGAAATTAATTACTGAAAAGTTTATTGACAATTGAACTAAACTGTATTAACAAAACAATCAATTATTAATGTAATTTAATTTAGTTATTAATGAACCTTATAATAATTATTTTTTTGTATGGATCCTGATTATAATTCTCCCTATTATTAACGAATTTTTTTAATTAAATAAGGATAATTGAATTTCTTACGTATCACGCTATACATTTCTTAACATATTTTTTGACACACACACTAAATATGCAAGTTTAAGTAAGAATCTTTTTCAAAAAACAAATCTGTATAAAATCTATCAATAAACCTTACATTCTCTAATGTACTCTGGAGTCTGGATTACGAGTTGACTAGAATTTCACGCTTTGCGTGCGCCTGTGATTAAAAATTCAGAGCAAATTAGCGTTCAGAAGCAAGCAAACAAAAAAAGAAAAGAAATTATGAAGAAAAATAATTGATGTATACTTTATGTTAAATTTATATTGATTACATAATAAAAAAATTAAGACATTATAAATTTATAGTCACTCTAGTTTTTATTATAAAGCACCTCAAACCATAAGAAGATATGATTAAATTATTAATTTGATTTAAAAATAAAATAAATTTTAAATTTTATTCTTGTTTAAATAAAATATTTTCCAATTTATATTACATCATCTTTATAGTTAATAAATTCAAATAAAAATAATATTGAAAAAATGTTATTAAATATTCCATCAAATGTTTTCTATTAAGAACTATTAATCTTTCCTGGAATGTAAATATTTTTACATAACCTCGCTGCATCATGTCATCTATGGCTATTCAAAAAAATTATATCAATTCAATCAAATAAAATTTTATGCATATGTTATTATTTTTAATAACCTTATTATTTTTATGAAATAGAACACCTCTTTAATTTTTGCATTTTCTCTTTCTATCATTATCAATGATAAAATTAATTTATATTTATAATTATTTAATAATATTTCATATTTTTATTAGATAAAATATGAATAATATGATACACAGGGTATATACAAGACTTTTTGTTTAGAGAGTGGATTATAAGATGGGATAAGAGGGAACCTATAGTACTGGTGGTAACACGCCAGTATAATGAATTAGTAATTTATAATTATTACGCAAAATGATGGAAAAAGTGGCCCTCGAATCGTTGCTTGTAGTATAAATTAAAAGATTGTGATTATTGGGGTGGTTGGTAAATTCACGAAGCTGCGTGTCCCTCGTGCCTGGCGGCAGTAGTTAAAGCTGTATCTCCTGCAATTCCTTCGTGTATATAATTAGCGGCTCAGGCTCAGACGTGCTTGTGCCTGCCCAAGAGAAGAGGAGCATCATCGCCTACTTTCTTCTTCATTCATCGTCTTCGTTCCTTACCTGTCCACCACCACCGAAGCTTAGGTATGCACTTGAACTTCTCTCTGACTCTACTTCTTGATTCGTCTCCAGTATCCTCTCCGCAACTTCCCTACTTTTTCCTGCATTTTCTCGCGTTTTTTTCTTGGCATTTTGTGCCGTTCCACTTTCTTTTGAACCTGCTCCAGTTTAGCTTCCGTCCTCAGCTGAAATTAAGTTAGATTCGTTCTTTGGCTTGAGAGATTTTAGACGGGCGGTATGTTCGCGCTGTTGATGACTGCGTGTTCCGTGATTTTCATTTCGTGTTAGATCTATCTAACTTCTGCGTTTTCTCTCTTCTATTGAGTTTGTTGCTTTGGTTTCTGTATCTTCTTTAGTTGCTCATAAAAAATGCTGGGAGTCGCGCGTTCCGTGATTTTCATTTCGTGTTAGACCTTGAAAACTACTGTCGCTATTAATTTAGTCCTTGAAAATTTATTGATACCAATTTAGTGCTAATATTTTTAAAAATACATAGTTTTAGTTGAATAGATCGATATCGTTGGAATTTTTCTAAGATCAAATTTCTTGGCAATAAGCTTGTCAGAACTTAATTGAAGTTGCTAGGACATCAACGGTAATAAACTTTCAAGGACTTAGCTGATGTATTGAAATCTTCGAAGGATTAAATGACAGATATCTCATCCAACAATTATGCAAGCAAGAAAGAAGTAAGGAGAAATAAACACTGCAGCCTCACCTCCTCCAGTTCAAGAAAATGCTAGACTTTCTGTTTTTTCCAAGATATTTCAACATTGAATTATCTAAAGATAAAATTGAGCTTTCTTTCTCATTGTGGTCCATATATTTTCTCACATACTTGACGTAGGTAGGATGTGTAATAAATTGTTATTTTTGTGAACTAATTACTTTCATTATCCATACTTATGTGCTAGAAGCTAGTTGTTAGCAGTAACATGTAGGTTTTCTAAATTGTTGAATATACTATGTGTCACTTTGTGTACCTTCTTTTGGTCCTTTCTCCATGCCCTCTAGAGATTTTAATTTTACTATTGTAGCAAGTGCTTTTATGGTCATCATATATATGACTTTTTATTTATATTATCCTCAGTTGATTTGCTTAACGAATTATATATTTGTCCATTGGCTCTCCCCCAGGATAATACACAAGAGAAAGAAATAGAAAAAGAAAGCAATGTTACTTCCACTTGATCCACATTTAAAATAGTTCGGATATCTCTTTTTCTCATTCCTACCATTCTTTTATGAAAACATTAGACTGCTTAAAAATTAAAATTAAATAAAGACAAGAATACCTACCTGCCATAAATAGTCATGTTTTTCAGGCCCATCAGTCTATGATGCTATTTGTGTTTCATATAGTAGATACCATATTTGAAGTTAGCTTTTTGAGATTTGAAATACTATCTCATTATATCTAAGTACACCCTGTGTTTTGTGTTTCAGTTTGCGGAATTCAATTTCTTCTGTTGATGGCACCAGTGGCAGCAGCATCTTCAGATTCTATAAAGCCTAGAGGTCTTCATTAAACTTGTCTAAATGGACCAATAGATGAATATAAATATCCTTGCATGCTTACTAAATAGAAATATTAAAACTCATGTGACATTTGCTCAAGCTTTATGCCACAACGATAATCTATGTACGCTTTGCTTACTTCATTCTATCCTTCATAACTATTATTAACTAAACATTTATTTAAGCTATTGTAATAATTAAGAGAAAAGATGCCATAACTTCTATCATCTTCTAATGTCCCAACTCATGCACACTAGATGGTTCCATTTATCCTACTAGTTTATTCATGCATTAATTTATTTATACAGATGTTTGCATTGTTGGAATCGCCCGTACACCAATGGGCGGGTTTCTTGGTACTCTGTCATCTTTATCTGCCACCAAGCTAGGTTCTATAGCTATTGAAGGTAGGTGTGGGATCCTGTGTCTGTGTTCACGGCATTTAAAATTTCTGAAAATTATTAATGTTTCTCTGTCTTCGCATCTTCTTTATTGATATCTAGCTGCACTTAAAAGGGCCAATGTTGATCCATCACTTGTACAAGAAGTATATTTTGGGAATGTTCTTAGTGCTAATTTGGGGCAAGCTCCCGCTAGACAAGCTGCTCTAGGGGCAGGAATACCAAATTCAGTGATCTGCACCACTGTGAACAAAGTTTGCGCGTCAGGGATGAAAGGTCTGAATTTATTGCAATGGAAATTCTGTTCTCCCCCCTTGTATTATTTTAGAAACAATAATGTTAAACTTGTTTTGGTCATTTTAGCTACAATGCTTGCGGCACAAAGTATTCAATTAGGAATCAACGATGTTGTTGTGGCTGGTGGTATGGAAAGCATGTCTAATACACCAAAGTATCTGGCAGAAGCAAGGTTAATAATTCCTTCTATGTGACAGTTGTCTATGCTTTATCCATTCATAGAAATATGCTGACCAGAATCACACTGAAAGTTCAGGAAAGGATCCCGCCTTGGACATGATTCTCTAGTCGATGGGATGCTGAAAGATGGCTTATGGGATGTCTATAATGACTGTGGGATGGGCACATGTGCTGAATTATGTGCAGATAAACATGAAATCACCAGAGAGGACCAGGTATTTACCAAAAAATTTCTATATTGAATAATCCAGAAAGATCATCATAATACATTTTAATTAATGTCTGTGCCGTGTCTGCAGGATAACTATGCAATTCAGAGCTTTGAGCGTGCTATTGCTGCCCAAGAAAGTGGTGCTTTCACGTGGGAAATTGTTCCAGTTGAAGTTTCTGGGGGTAGGGGAAAACCATCGACTATTGTTGATAAGGATGAGGGTCCGGGAAAGGTAATCATACAAGTCAAACTTGAACCAGGCCAAAACTCACTATTGTATTGATAGACATTGAATGATAAAAAAGATACATGTCTCTGGACTCTTTATAAGCATTATGTAGTACTTTCATTTCAACGGAGTTTTGGACTTTTGATGAGAATATTGATTTTCAAAGCATGATAATTTTGCATTGCATTCTTTATAAAAAAATTTTATTTTGACGTTAAAACAAATAATTAATCTGGAACACTGGGCATTGTTGTTCATAAGTTTATATCTGCAAATATACAGTTCTATTTATTGCACTTTAGTTGCAGAATCTGTTAGGTTACTACGCTCACGGTTGTTCACATAGCATTTGAATGTAGATATATTTTAGCTCTTTTCTTCCCAAAAAATTTACCTTGGCATTTTGATATGATAGTTCGATGCTGCCAAGTTGCGAAAACTAAGGCCAAGTTTCAAGGAGAATGGTGGTTCAGTTACTGCAGGCAATGCTTCTAGTATAAGGTTAACTAACATCAGCATTTTGTCTGGAATTGTTCTTCAACTTTGTTTGTTCACTTTGTTCTGCTTTTATGTTAGAATTTGGATGGCTTGCCTTTCTCAAATAACCCGTGTACTGTGTAGAATATTTTGCATTCGCTGTAACATTTTGGGAGTAATTTAACATTAACCATTAAGATTTGAACAGGAGAGTGCAGGGAGGAATGAAATATTTAAGTAATGTAGAAATTGGATGGTGAAGAGCTTGAGTGCCTGGTGATAGTCATGTAGTTTGCAAGCCATGTATAGGGAGGCATGTGGTGGAAATATGGTGAGAGCAGTAATCTGCCATGCATGCTAGTATATATCTCAGAGAAAGTCCATCAAGTTAATTTTTGTTTTCCCTAATATCATTTCATGCCACAAGTCAATGAACTGACTTAACTGAGTCACGAATTGCTGTCATTACTAATAAATACATTATGTGCTTTCCTGTCTGGTCACATTTAAGAACACTAAATCTTCATAAGTCTTTAGTCAAGCATTTCTCTTTTTCTATTGACTCGCCCTATCTTCTTATTGCAAAAATATTAGTTTTCTCTAACCTCCGGTTGTACTAAAAAAAGAAGTCTTGCTGACAGTGATGGTGCTGCTGCATTAGTTTTGGTGAGTGGAGAGAAGGCACTGAAGCTTGGACTTCAGGTTATTGCAAAAATAACTGGATATGCTGATGCTGCTCAGGTACATAAAAAAATATTTAACTACACTTGAACTTTAGGACATGGGAGGATTAGAAATAGAAAAAGAAACATTTTATTATTTGCATTGTTTTTTTGTGGTTGGTGCATTAGGTCCAATTAATTCTAACGAGATTGACACGTACAGGCACCGGAGTTCTTTACAACAGCTCCAGCTCTTGCCATTCCCAAAGCTATTTCCAATGCTGGGTTGGAGGCCTCCCAGATTGATTTTTATGAGATCAACGAAGCCTTCTCGGTAGCAATCATCTGAATGTTTTAGTTGAAGTAGCTTACTAAATTTAATTTATTCTCAGTTTTAATGCTTAACATTGCCAATTGTAGGTCGTGGCAATTGCAAACCAGAAACTTCTTGGACTTAATGCGGTGGGTTTTTTTTTTTTTGGTCTAAGTGAAACTTGCAGGCATCTTCAAGTCTCTGCATTTCTCTTGTCTGAGGGACTTCAAGGCAGTTGATTGGCTTTTATCAAGCTTTTCCAAAGAAACCCCTTTCTCTCAACTATACATGGCCATTACTAGCTCTGACCCCTGTGTTGTTTGCCATCTTAAGCATTTTACTGAAGTAACTAATTTTCAGGAAAAAGTAAACGTGCACGGTGGAGCTGTGTCTTTGGGTCACCCTCTTGGTTGCAGCGGTGCTCGTATTCTGGTGACTCTTTTAGGGGTATGTTTTAGTTGATCACTATAAGTATCTTGTAAGAAATGATTTTTTTTAATCCAGTTTCATGTAGTTCAAGTATCACTAAAACGCAGGTACTGAGGCAGAAAAATGGCAAATACGGCATTGGCGGTGTTTGCAACGGTGGTGGTGGGGCATCTGCCCTTGTTGTGGAACTCTTGTAAGCCTCTTTTCCAAGTTTGGTGTTTATCTTGCATCCTTATATGATGACCTTTTAGAACAATGCGTATAGAGGGTCAACAAACTTTTTCTGCTCCTGGTAAGTTAGGGGATTTCAAAATTTGATCACAAGCAAGAAGAGAAAGGAAGAAGATATATTTGGACGTATAAATTGGTAATGATAAGGCGGAACCTTGTGGAAGTTAAATTTCTAATGGCACCAATAGGAAAGGGGAAGATAGATTTGGTGTTATGCTTCTATTTCTATTAGCATAAAGTTCAATATGGTATTTGTGTTTTATCTGCAACATGTTTTCTTCAACAAGTCTGCGGCGTGTCAAGCTTTATGATTTAGTTATCTCTCAGGGCTTCGTCCCTGGATTGCTTTGCTTTACAAGACATGAAGGAATTTAGAATTGGAAAACTTTGACCATTGTCATTCTAATTTTTATGTATACAAATCTTTTTTAGTACAATGCCATGAATGTTATGTATTATTCCGTCAACAAAATATCCAATGAACGAATTTTTTTTTTATTTTGCTCACCAAGCTTTAATAACAAAATCTGGACATAAATTTTAAAACATCACAAAATGTTTTCATGAACTTTAAGCTGAAATGAAGAAAAAAGTGACAACTATGTATACATGATAAGCTAATTAAAAGCCGAATGCCAATCTTACTTTTCAAATTATACATTGATTACATTTTTTTTATCATGTTTATCTTCATTGTTTTTCTCTTTTATTTTAACTTCTTCTTTCAAGTTAGATTCATTTAATTTATAATTATAATTATTATTTTGTCTTCTCTCTTATTCTTATCTATCTCTACATTATACGGACAATCTTTTAGGTAAAATTAGTAGCAAGGAGCTAGACGACCTTGGTTTGTGAGATGTTTCTTTCTAGATCTAAACATGTGATTTTAAGATGAAATTTGAAAAAAAAAATTCATATTAGTTAATGCATTTTTAATAATATACGAAAATTATGTTTATATATATGCACCTATATATTTGACTGACAAACCTGAAATCTATACAGCTCCACTGATTCAATAATTAGGCCCATTTTAAAACCTTGATCTCGTTCCATTGCTTTTCTTCACACTAAACACATTTTTCCTTTATGTCGCATCAAAGCTAAGGTATAACTTATAAATGGTTTATTAATTTTAATAAGGAATGAATGATAATTTAAATCTTAAATTATACAGTCAAGAATTAAATCTTAAATTAACTCTATTACTTTATGCAAATATGGGGCCCACACTTTTTCTGCCATATTCTCTCTCTAGCCACGAAATTACTTCTCTTCTCTCTGCCACGACACTGTAACTATAGATGTACGGAAAGACAAACAAAAAATTAAAGAATTAAAGAATCATACACTAAACCTCCAATATTTAAGCAGTGTCATGGTCTTTCTTCTTTCTGCACGGGTTAATTAATTTTTTATCTTCCAATATTTAAGCAGGATAAATGGTCTTTCTTCTCTTCTCTATGCTTAAATTGCTAATTAACCCTTTTAATAATATAAGTGGATATATTTAACAAGTTTTGAATATTTAAGCAGCACATAATACTACCAAAGACCCAAACTTGAAAAAGAAAGACCATTTTCATTTGAGCCGAACTTCTTTTAAACCTCCAATATTGCCACTGTGAAAGTTTGTTTCTCTTTCATCCTCCATCCTTGGTCTATTTAGCTGCTAGAAATGATACAAATAAAATGGATTGAAAAAAATTTTAAAAAATAACTAAATTACTTATCTTCTTTCAATAAGCATGATAAAGCTCATTATTATATATCACAAATGTAGAAATCATCACACCCTTTAAAAATTTTATAAATCATGATTTTCAATCTTATAAATTAAATTACCCTTCTCAAATGTGGTTCACCTATCATTATATTTATATTTTTATTTTTTTAATCCATTTTATTGTACTCCTTTGTGGTAACCAAATGGGACTTAAAATAAGTCTTGTGAGATGCTCCCTCCTGTCCTTAATATAAGAAAAAATTGATTAATTTCATGCTTATTAAGAATGGTAGTTATATTATAGTACAACTACCATTTTTAATAGGAATATTAAGATGTAATGTAATTACAATATTAATAATGGTATTCCTTATTCAATTATACTATATTGCAAATTATGTAATAATATAATGTAATTGCAGTAAACGTCATTGTAATATCATTTTCAATATTTTTTATGCTGATATTATTTAAATACTCAACATGATAATTCTAATTTGAAGATTTTTCTTTCATATTGAATCCTTTTTTTTTTTATCAATTGAATGCAATTTCAACTCCACTCGAGGCACGGGTTGACGCTAGTTATTAAGAAAAATATATAAGCAATTTTTTAAAAAAAATTCACATACTAACAAAAGTCTTCATTCTCATAACAATATATATTATTTTCCTTTTTACCTCTAGTTCAAATTATCAAGGCATTTCATGATGAGTGAAAAATATATTTACACAAATATTTAGGTTAATAAATACAAGGGGTAAAATAATAATTTTATTTACATTTACTAAATTGCTTATATTTTGAGCCAAAGTTAGCTAAAAAAAAATGCTTATATTTTAAACTAGAATGAGAATCTTATATCAAAGATAAGAGAGAGTATGTATAATATATAGAGATTAAAAAATATAAAATTCTTTTAAATTTTGAGGCAATATAAAACCCCTTTTACTTTTAAAAATTTAAAATTAATCTCCCTAATTTTTTTTAATCACAAGCTCTTCTACTGTTATTTTTTAGCTATCTGACTGATGGAAGTTGTCATTTCATATTAATAAAAAAACACATAATAGCTTATGCAGCATTCCATGTAAGCTAATAATATATTCATAAAAATTTTGTCAATATTTTTTCTATGATTGTTAGCTCACATTGGATGCCATATAAGTTAGTATGACTTGGAAATTCTGGTTAGTAAGATAGTTAAGAAATAATAATAAGGATGTTCGTGGTAAAAAAAACAAAAAGAAAATGTCAGGAAGGTTAAGTTTGAATTTTTAAAATTAAAAGTGAGGGAAGATTTTTTTTTAATAACTACTTCAAAATTTAAAGAGTTTTGCATATTTTAACCATAAGTAAATTTTACCCTGCGAATAAAAAAAAAGAGTAAAATATTCCAGCCCCATCTAATTTTTATTTATATAATTCAACTAATTGCGGAACCTGCCCGCTCCTTTTCCTTGGTATATTTAAAAATTGAGCCATATCGTAGCAAGGTTACATTGTTTTTTTTCTGTAACACCAACCATGTTGGTTCGAATTGATTTTCTACTCATCTTTCTTTCAGAAGCACCAATCATGTTGTTCTCAACATATGTTTTTTTTTTTTTTTAACTCGCAACACTGGCCACGTAGTTTTAAATTGATTCTTCTACTCACCGTTCCTTCTCGTGACGCTAATTATTTTGTTTTCTATCGTCTTTTCTTTCTTGTAGGCTGTAGCCTTAGCTGTATTGTTTTAAATTAATCATGAATCAGATCGCACTAATCGCATTGATTTTATTTTAATCCACAGTAGTTCTTCTTCTTCTTCTTCTGTAACAAAAAAAGAAAAACGTTGAACTAATTTACATGGATTAAGCAACTTAGTCAAAATTGGATTCTGCTCTTAAAATAAAGTCTGTCATAATTTTTCGACCAAAAAAAGGTCTCTCATAATTTATCCATAGTTATAAGTTCTCAATCCATCTTTTCACTATAATTACTTGACATTATTTATGTCAATAACACAATCAAAAAAAACATTCCACCACTTCTAAAATTGATTAGCCAAATATATTATTTAGAAGTCCAAATATATTATTTAGCCAAATATATTATTATGTCAATAACTTATTAGTTCTTTCTAGTTTAGAATATAATCATTTCTCCTAACTAATATTGATTCAAAACATTCCACCGTCCAAGGCACTATGAGAGTAGATGTGGATGCGTCTCTAAATCATCAAAATAATGCAGCTTGTGGCTGGCTCCCTCGAAATTCTGAAGGTCAATGGCTACAAGGGTTTGTGTGGAATCTGGGGAATTTACCAATTGCAATAGCTGAAGTTCATGCCATTAATTGTGGACTACAACTCTATTCAAGCCTCAACTTTGATGAAGCTAGGATATATTCAGACTCTTTAGATGCAATAAATCTCATTTACAGAGGTGTACATAGTGATCATCCTTTTGCTGATGCTATTTCAAGAGTCCAAAAGACCACATGTGCCCCCAGAGACAACAAGATTCTGCATATTTCTCGGGATGCAAACTCATGTGCTGATTTCTTGGCTAGAATGGCTCAAGGCTATGGTAGTGATTTTACTCTACTAATTGATGCTCCACCTAGTTATGACAGCCTTATTTTGCTTGACGAAAATGGGGTTAATCCCCATATGAATTAGACTCTTTTGTGTTGTTTTTGTTTCTTTCTCTAGCTATTTGCTAGCCTCATCTATGAAGAAAAAAATTAAAAAAAATGATAATAAAATTCTTTTAAAATATATAAATAATAATTTGATCCTTTAAAATGTCATAATTCTCTTGAAATCTTTAGAAACTTTTCTGTCATTAATAAATTTATATAAATTATTAAATTATCCTAATTGAAAATAAATGATTCACAAGTTTTGTTTAAATATTCATAATTTTTCTTCTTATATTTGTAACAATGCAACAGTAAATTATAACTTCATATGTTAAATTTTTCATTTGTTATTGCATTGTTGTGAATATAAGAATGAAAGTTATAAATATTTAAACAAAACTTGTGAATCATTTATTTTTAATAATGATAATTTGGTAATATATATAAATTCATTAATGATAGAAAAGTCCCAAAAAACTTCAGGAAAATTATGACTTTTGAGAGATTAAATTGTCATTTATACATTTAGAGAGATTTTATTGTCATTTTTTCAAAAAGATATTTATACATTTTTTTAAATTTTATTCTTTATATTTTTTTACTCTAGACTCTTGTGCAAGTAAATTTTTGACATTCTTCTCACTTAAAAAATTAGAATTAATAGTAAAAAAATAACATATATTTTTTTAAAAAAATATTTTATTTATATATGAATTATTATAAAAAATATTTATATTTTGGATTGAAGGTAGTAACTGCTTCATAAATTTTACCAAATGGCTTATATATACTCTCTCCGTTAAAAAATATAAGGCATTTTTAATCGAATCTCACCATTTAATAAAGTAGTTACTTACTTTTAAACTAACCCTATCTTTTTATTAATAAAAATATTTTTTTAAAAAAATAATAATTATATTTTGAAAAATTAAAAATATTTTATATTTTTTAATATTTAACTTTTAAAAATATTTTATATTTCCTAACCGAGAGAGTAAAAACTTTAAAAAGTTAAATAATAATTATATTTTGAAATTTTTTACTCTCTCGGTTAGGAAATATAAAATATTTTTTAAAAAGTTAAATATTAAAAAATATAAAATATTTTTAATTTTTCAAAATATAATTATTATTTTTTTTAAAAATATTTTTATTAATAAAAAATAGGGTTAGTTTAAAAATATGGTGAGATTCGATTAAAAATGCCTTATATATCTTAAATGGTTAGATATTTTTAATCAAATATTTTTAAATGGTTAGATATTTTTAATCATATCTTATATTTTTAACGAAGGGATTAAGATATCTTTAATTGAATTTCACTCTAAATAAAAATTAACAATTTTCAAATTAATATTATTTTTTATTATTTATTCTTATTTAATAGAGTATTTTATTTAAGAAATATAAAATAATTTATTAATTAAAGGCATTTTTTGAAAAAAAAATATATTAATTATACTTTAAATATTAAAAATACCTCACATTTTTAATATCTAACACTTATAAATACTTTATATTTCACTTTTCTTTTGTGTTTATCAGATGGAGAGTTGGATGTTAGATTTTTTTTTTCCTCGAACCAACAACTGATGTTTGTGAGTATAAAATATTTTAAGTGAGCTACTTTAATTGTGCTCCAAATGTTTAAATTTGATCCAATTAGATGACCATATAAAAATATTAAAATTTTTAATGTTATTATTTAAGAGTTAATAAGTAAATAAGACCTGAATTATTGCTTGAAATTACCTTAATCCTAAACTCTTAAATATACAAAATAAATACTAAACTTTTAATTCATAACAAAATAAAACTTGACAATAACTTTTAATATGTTACTGTTACACAGGTATTGTTTAGAGTTTATTTTTCTATAAATTTAACCCTGACTGTTATAGTACCTGTATGGACAGTAATGGTGTTAAAAAGTTAATGGTCAGGATTTATTTTGTATATTTTAAAATTTAAAATTTATTTTTCATATTTTAAGAGTTCAGAATCCATGGTGATTTTTGAACAAGAATCAGAGTCATATTTGCTCATTAATCTTATTTAAAATATCAAACTAAAATACTATAATATCTGAACAGGTGAAAGATACTTTAAAAAATAAAAATATTTTTTAGGAGTTATATGCTAAAAAATGTAAAACTTTTGAGGTGTAATGATTGCCTTTTTTTTCAAGAGTCTATATTAATGAATGACTTTATATTTATCATAAGATATTTAATAGAGGTAAATATAAAAATATATGATTAATGAAAGGAGTAACCACTTTATTTAAGGGTGAAATTTGATTAAAGATATCTATATTTTTAAACAGAGATAGTAGTTGATGGATTTTTTAAATAATAAGTAAGATGCCAAATGGGCTTTGGCTTGCATTTTACCAAAAAAATGCCAATTAACAATTTTGGCATTTTGGGAAATTAGAATGACTCTATTTAATTAGAAGTGCCGGATAGTATGCAAATCTACGTTAATAATCAATATAATTAGCAGATAACAAATTACAATTAAGGCCTAATAAAATTAAAGAAAAAGAAACATGAGATAGAGACAAAGTAATAAAAAAACTTAAATAAATGATTGTGAGTTTGAACTCTAACCTTTATATACGTAGCAGAGTAGTTAAGGAATTTATCTTGTCTTATTATTTTTTACAAAAATATTTTCTATCAGTAAAGCTTATCCCCTATACTTAAAATTTATAGAATTACATCCTCCCATAAACTACTTACTTGTCTTGAAATTAATAATATTTTTATATTTATTTTTATTTAATAAATATTTTACTTTAAATAAATATAAATAATTTATTTATTAAAAAAATAAAAAATATAATAATTACATTTTAAATATTATATTTAATTTTTAATATTTATCTTTCAAAAAAATAAGTATTTTATTCAAAACAAATTTTTAAAAATGAGGAGGAAACAAGCATAAAATGATATTTAATTATGTTTGTTAACAAAAAGAAAAATAGAAATTTATTCCCATTGTAACTAGAACAACTTGAATAGTCAAATTTTGCTATCAAATCTCATCTCACATTTAATTTTTCATTCCTACTTTCTAAATCCAAAAACAAACAATAATTTGGTTTTTTTGTTTACATGAAAGAAAAATTTTACTTTAAAAAGGTAAAAATTTTTAAAAAAATATTCAAAAAAATATTTAAAATGATTTAGTAATAAATTTTTATGAAAAAATTTTAAATTTTTAAAAAGTAAATAAAAAATATGATATTATTTGACTTATATAAGAATCTATCTCATTCTTTCATTAAAAAAAATTATTTTTTAAAAAATTTTTTTTCCATAAAATAATTTTTTTTTGCATAAAAAAATTTAATTTTTAATTTAAATTAATGTTACTAAAAAAAAAAATAATTTTCTAACTGTCACCATAAGTAAATATTTAAATTTAAATTAAAAGTAATTTTTTTATAAAAAAAAAAATCATTTAAAATAAATTCTTTTGTTATCTTTAAAAGCTTTTTACTTCTCATCAATAATTCAAGTATCAAACTGATTTAAAAAATATTTCAATATTTTTTTATATACTGATTTATTTAATTATTAAATATTTATAATTGAAAATGCACAAAATACTACAAAAATAGGATTAGATCACATGGGTAAATTGACTTGAAAAATAAAAAGAGTTAATTAGGATTTTCTTATCTCATGCCCTGAGGAGATTAATTTGCCAATAAAGTTGATTGATATTATTTGGCATTGTGTGAGTTCTACTAGGATGCAAATGTTATGGGAAGGAAGTAAAACAGAAGAGGTTAGACTGGCTAAAGACATTCATCAAAGGGATCCTCTTTCTCCTTATCTATTTGTATTATGTATTAAAAAACTTGTTTATCTGATACAACCAGAGATTGTTAAAGGTACTTGGAGGCCCACTAGCTTAAATAAAGATGGTCCTTCTCTCTCTCATCTTTTTTTGGGCTGATGATCTTGTTATTTTTGCGAAAACGACTGAGGACCAAGTATAGGTGATTAAATAATGTCTTGACCATTTCTGTGCAATGTCTGGTCAACAGGTAAGTCATTTTAAAACAAGGTGTTTTTTTTCTAAGCATATGAATCATAATAGAGCTCAGCAACTTAGTGACTTACTTGAATTCAATCATACGGCAGATCTGGGCAAATATCTTAGGGTTCCTCTCCATCATAACCGTGTGACCAAAAATACTTATCAATTTATGGTGGATAAATGAAGCAGCGACTCTTTAATTGGAAGGCAGAAACTATATCTTTTGCAGGTTGAACAAATCTAATAAAGTCTTTGTTGAGTACCATTCCTTTATATTGTATGCAAATAGCTCATCTTCCTGTGAGTACTTGTGAGGAGATTGATAAATGTTCTCGTGGTTTCTATGGGGTTCGATTGGGGATAGAAAAAAGATTTATCTATTCCTTGGGATAAAGTGTGTGAATCAAAAAGAAATGGTGGCCTTGCATTGAGACACTCACAACTTCAAGACAAAGCCTTCATGATGAAAGTGAGATGGGGCCTTATACATAACAAGGAGGCTTTATAGGCTAGAGTTATCAAGAGTAAGTACAAATGTAGGAGGGAGTTAATACCACAAGTGAATAAGATTTGCCTTGGATCTCAGTTTTGGAGACGTTTGAAAAACAATTAGGAGAAAGTCCAAGCTAAGGTGGAATTCATAACTAAACATGTGAATAAGGTGGCTGTTAGATGGAAACCTGAGAAACATGGTATGTTTACAATTCGATCTACTTATGAGTTCTTAACATATAGTTATGTTTGTACTGATCAGATGTGGACCAAGATTTGGAAACTTTGAGTGCCTAAGCATTGTAGATCTTTCCTTTAGCTTATGAGTTATGACTGTATCCTTACTAGTAAATCTCATTTTAACCATCATTTGAGTAATCAATCATGGTGTAGTTGTTGCCCGTGGAGGTTGAAGACACTTTGCACATGATGAGACAATGTCCTGATGCTAAGGAAGTGTGGATGAAATTGTTATGGCCTTCTTAAAGACAAGCTTTCTTTGCTACAGACTTGAGGGAATGGTAAGATGAATCTTAATATACAAATGGCAAACAATTCCAAAGTGGTGTGATATGTTTGTTGTTCTATGTTGGGCAATATAAAAGTGTAGAAATGAGAGAGTTTTTGAGGGACGAAGATTGACGTCTGCAAGTGTCATTGTTCAAACGACTGCTATCCTTGATTGCATGAAAGGGGCTAACCTTCGTTCACAAAATTTGCCTATTCCTGGCATTCGTCCTATTATGCAGGCAGATATGAATACTCTAGCTACTGATGAGCTCTTTATTTATATTGATGGGGCTTTTGTAGTTTCTACGGATGCAAAATGTTGTGGAGGCCTAGTTAAAGATACTAAAGGGAATACCATTGAAGCTTTCACATTTCGATTAGAGAAGGGTGATAATCTGACAGTGAAATTATGAGCATGCTATATGGGACTAAAGCATGCTTAGAATATTAAAACCAAGCATGTTAGACTCCATAGTGACTCTCGCAAGGTATTATCTTTCTTAAGAGCTTTTAATTATGATCTTTGTGAGGATCAAGAGATTATTATAGAGATTCAACATTTACTTCAAAGAGACTGGCAAATTGATATGATTTATATTGGAAGGGAGTTCAACACAGAAGCTGATTCCCTAACTAAACATGCCTTATCTCTCCCCATGGGTCTTCACATAGTGACTATTGATTCTATTCCTTTAGTCATGGAGGACTTTAAGTTTACTGTTTTGCTATTTTGTTTTGTTTTTTCATTCATTCTTATAAAAAAAATATACTATTTCGTTAGTTCTTCGGTACGTTTTTGATCAAATTTATTAGTTAACCATAATATATATAAAATCTAAACCATCCAAAATTGTTTGTAATGTTCTGATTTAAAATTTTTAACTTTTATTTTGATATAAAAAATTTATCTTTTATCAAGGTTGAAAGAGTTAGAAAAGAAATAATGAGATTTGAAAAAATATCGTACTATATAAATGGTTCTCAGTGGATAACAAATCTCAATAGAATAAATATAGATAATATATCTCAACACTTCTCTCAAATTTAAGAGTACCTAATTTTAAACTCAAGAGGCCCTTAAATTTGTAAAAACTTATATTATTTGATCTGAAAAATAAATCTCAATATATGATATCATAACAAGGGTGACGGTTGCAAGATTATCTTCATTGTAAATTCAGTATCTATTAAAATAATAATTTATTAAAAATTATAAAAATAAAATTTCATCCAATCTCGACCGTGCAAATCGGATCTCATCACAAAAATGACGAGCATTAGACCCCATGGATACGTAGAGAGAAAAGTACGAACATGTAGAAACCGCTAATTAATTAGAATAGTCACATACTTGCCTCTTGGAAGACATATATATATAATATATATATATATAAGATTAATTAAGGTACTAATTAAAGATAATATATTTTGATTTTGAATTCCATGCAGACACGTAATCGCACTTGCTCACTGATTACGCCTCTTATTGAATATACAAATATTTATGCCTTAATGTCCATGGACCAGGAAACACAAACAAATGCCCATACACAAGTGGCCTCATCAGCATATCATGGAACCAAATTAAAAGGATCTCAGGCTAAGTCACGAGGCTTGCAAACAGGCAAGTCGTCTTCAAAAGTTGGAGGCATTCTGAGAATAGGGTTTCTGTCGAAGAAATTCACAGGCTTGAGATCGAAGCTTGACGACACTGTGGGCATGATTGGGTAGTCTTCTTGACATGGTATGTGATGAAACCCTATTGTGTACCACCACCACTATGTCCTTGTTCTCTATCCCTCGATCTCTGCAAGTTGCAACCCAACCAACATAGTATTATTATTCTTCTCGTGTTCTATTTATATTTAAAGATAGAAAGATGACAACATGGTGTTGATTCTTTATTACAAATTTATTATTTTGCCCTCTATTAAATGTTAGAATTTTTAATCATGGTTAATAAGTTTTACAATTTTTTTATTATATTAAATCATATTGAAATAATTTATAAATACTATTAATACTAGTAGTAACGTTTAATAAAATTAAAAAAATTAATTATTTGATCTCTATAGCTTTTATTAAGTTAAAACTCACTTTAACTTAATGCAATTCAATCATTATAATTTTATCAATTTAAAAAAATTATAAATATTAAAACTTAGAACTAATGTTTTTAATAGCAAACTCTATTGGGACTAAGTTGTAATAAATTAAATTTCATCAATTGAATTACAGCTAAGTCAAATCATAAAAACTGAATTATATCAATTTAAAATTTAAGGAATAAGTTGCAACAATTGAATCAAATAGTAGGAATTAAATAATTAATTTTTACTAAATTAAATCAAATTTAGATAATAAATTTTTAAAGAAAGAGAAGACTAACCTCTTGGCCCAGACTTCCAGAGTGTCGTCTCCTTGGCTCTGATAAACAAACAAGCCACCGGCCCACTGCTCGCTCTCATTGTAAGGCGTCACCCATATCTGATTATTCGTGAACGCCGCTCTCTTCTGCGGAGGATCCTCCGCGTCCAGCAAGCTCGCCGCCGTGCCTCCGGGGACCACCTTGTACCCCACCGGATTCCCCACCTTGGTCTTCTTGTTAGGGTTTATCACGTGGAACTCCGACGGGTCGTACAGCTTCAGTCTTATCTCTGCGTCCTTCTCCGTCTTGGCCACGTTCCTCACCGCTTTCAGGTAGCTTCTTCGGAGAGTCTTCCTCCGGCGACGTCTGGTGTCGCTTTAAGTTGACCTTGACAAAGGAGTTTGGCTCGCCGTCGATGTCCATGTCAAGGCAGTAGTTTATGAAGTGGTCGTGGATTACTCCGATGACGTTGTCGGCGAGGAGCGTGCCATAGAGATACTCTTGCGGTGGAATCTGGCTGGTGTGATCGTACGGTGTTCCTTTCACCATCAGGATTCCACTCAGCCCCACCTGCTCAACCGTTCACAGGTTTTCATGTCATTGCCATGCTTTATTCTCCTTACAAGTCTTTGAAAATTTAATCGTTAGGCAATTGATTTTTGACAAGAAAACATTTTTCTCTTTGAAAAGTTTACCTTGCATTACAAACAAACTCAATAATGTGACAAAGACTTGACATTTATAAAGATTAAGAAATTATTTTATAGAATCACAATATGTACACATAATTTTTTAGTGTGTACATGAATTATTTTATTAAAAATAATTTTGTCCAAAGCACTACTAAATGTGACATTTCTTTTTAAAAAATTTAAATTTAGTTCATTAAAAATTAATTCTTTTCACTAGATCTAACTCTCCTAGTAACAAACACAAATATTTTAACATAATACATTTAAATTTAAATAGCTCAACAATGGTTTTCGAAAGCCATTTAATAATGTAATAAAATTTGATATTTTATCCATTTAAGAGACTACAAGCATTAAACTTATGATCACTATACAGTTTTTACTCTAAAATTTGATATTTTGCTAGAATAACAATTAGATTCCAAAATATTAAATTAATACTAGTTAAGTTCTTGAATTTTTTTTTAAAAAACAAGTTAAAAATACCAATCCAAATTATTACAAATTTTAGAATTTTAATTATAAATAATTATTTCAATATTAAATGTAATTTTTAGATTGCAATAGAAATTTTTATTTATAACTATTTGAATTGATATTTATAATTTTTTTAAAATTTTATCCAAGACCTAACTATTATTAATTTTTTTTTCAAGACCTAATTGTCATTCTCCCCTCTTTTTTTTTTTTAAATTTGGTGCATCTATTATTGTGAGTTTACTCCATATTTAGTTAATGGGACTTAACGTGGACTTAGATTAATTCGAATCAAATATTATTGACAGACCCTTTCAGTTGTAGCAAGCTCTACTATCAAGTTTTGACAACACTACATTCTGATTAACCTCGGAATTGAACAACCACTTACCAATGATTCAAGCGCTTAATATAGTTTTATGACTGCTTAAGACAGTCAAAATTTCTAATCACACTAGAGTACAAACACAAGCTATATTGAAAATTAAAGTTGAAAATGAATAGATGAGCACAAACCTTGGGTCTGATTAGTCCATCGGTTTGAAATTCCCAATCCATGATGTAGTCATAGTTTGCCACCGACGCTGCCATTCTCACCACTAGCGTCACCTTCGGCCTCGCCTCTGTTATCTGCATTCCCCCATAAATAAATATCTCTGTCATCAATAACACAACGCAATCTAGTTTTTTTTTTCTCAAAAAAAAAATATAATACATAAAATATCTGTTTCAATACATACGTTCAATAAGACAAGAAGAAAATTAAAGCCGGCGATATATGCAGTATGTTGCAGTATATTGCAGAGCTTTGACACCTATCTAACCTGCAAGTCTGTGATAGGACACTCCACGTGCCGCCACGCGATGTCCCCAGCGTAGCTCTCGTACACACAAATCATGTTCGGCCTTACGTACGGCTTCCCGTCGGCCGACGCGAAAACGCCGTCCATGTAGTACGCGTTCCGGGGACAGTCGTTAAGCGGGTCCAGCGACATGGCCTGTAACCCGAACCCGTATTCACCTGCGTCCATGTACGTCTTGAAGTACCACGCGTCCGTGGGGTCCATGTACGGCACGAACAGCTCCGACGCGAACCCTTTGTACATCACTTCCCTCAGCTCCGACGTTTCTGGGTCTCGGACCTTGGCCTGCGATATCACTAGCCCCGCTCTCGGGTCGGGTTTCAGGTGGAATTCCCAGTTCGCCCACTTCACGAGGTGCCCGTCGACTGTAAAACTCGGGCCCTTGGGTTGCTCCAGCGATATCGGGTTTAACAGGTCCAACTTCCCGTTCAGCTTCTGAACGGAGTAACGGTAATCCGTGTTGATCCCGTTCGGAATCGGAATATTCCGTCCCTTGTCGGAGATGGAGGACAACTTCTTGTCTGTCCATGTCGACCAGCACGGTGAGTCCTTCGATCGGTCTCATGTAGAAGTTTGCAGTGCCCTCCGAAGAATAACACTGAACCTTGATCAACCTCTTGTTCTTCTCCTCCTTTATCTTCCCGTACCACCCCGACGACTCCGGCAGGCAGGCCAGGTCCGCCATGTTGACCCCACGCCCTGATCGTACGGTTGAACTCTCGGCTCTTCAGCGGCGCGTTTGTCGCTCCTACCATGTCCTCCACAGTCATAGTGGGGTAGCCGGAAAACAGGACCTACTTCGTGTCTTGTCACCTGCGAAGACCACAGAGAGAGAGAGAGAAACTGGATTCGGTAAATTTTTCAGGTGACGTAAAAAAATCAGATAATTCTGCAGATAAACAGAAGAACCTGTTGGGTCGAGAGGTCGACGGTGAGGACAAGATTGGAAACGGCGTTGACGCGAGCAATGACGGAGGCTTTCCTGGGAAAGAGAGGGTCGCCGGACTTCCATTGCTTGACTAGTTTTTGGGGGGTTCTTGGAGGACGATGGAGTGAGAGCGTAAGAGGAGTATTTGAGGAGAGGATATCGGGAGAGGATTGAACGGACTTGGTTGAATTCATGGATGGTGAGGGGGTCGAGAGGGTGGCGGGGAGTGTAGGTTCATGGTGGTGGCGGCGCGTGGGAGAAGGAGGCTTCTTGAGGAAGGTGAGGAGTTCGGGGCGGAAGAAGCAGCGTTGGGAGGAGAGGTTGCAGTGGACAAGTTTGGTGTTAGAGAGAGGTGGGAAGTGAAGCCATGTCACGAGCAGAGCTAAGGCTCCGAAGAAGAGAAGGAAGAAGAAGCGGAGGAAGTTTCTGTGTTCCATGGCAGTATCGGTCGCTCCCTCTTGGATTGGGCGTGGGATACTTCTTACAACCACACTACTGACCCCAACTCCACTTCAACATTAATTAAAAATAAAAATATCATTAAAAATGTTCGCCAAAAAAAAAATCCTGACGAATGTAATCTTCAATAGAGAGTATTTTCAGTTTGTAAATCTAAGGGGTAATCGCTCCACGATTAACAAATAATATCTCCCACTCAACTAGATTGCTACATTGATAAAGAGTTAGGGTTCAAACTGTTGACCACTTGTTTAAATGATACTGGTCCTTGTCACTTATATTAACTTTAATTAATAATTGATAGTTAATTAAATGTTTTGTGACTCTATTATCATTATCTTGTAAAACAAAACGGAATTATAACAATATTTTTAAAATATAAAATATCCTTTATTTTATTATGTAGAAAATGTGTAGTAAGTAATTGTGAGGGTAAAAATTACAGCTCAGAGCTAAGGCTCCGAAGAAGAGAAGGAAGAAGAAGCGGAGGAAGTTTCTGTGTTCCATGGCAGTTATCGGTCGCTCCCTCTTGGATTGGGCGTGGGATACTTCTTACAACCACACGACTACTGACCCCAACTCCACTTCAACATTAATTAAAAATAAAAATATCATTAAAAATGTTCGCCAAAAAAAAAATCCTGACGAATGTAATCTTCAATAGAGAGTATTTTCAGTTTGTAAATCTAAGGGGTAATCGCTCCACGATTAACAAATAATATCTCCCACTCAACTAGATTGCTACATTGATAAAGAGTTAGGGTTCAAACTGTTGACCACTTGTTTAAATGATACTGGTCCTTGTCACTTATATTAACTTTAATTAATAATTGATAGTTAATTAAATGTTTTGTGACTCTATTATCATTATCTTGTAAAAAAAACGGAATTATAACAATATTTTTAAAATATAAAATATCCTTTATTTTATTATGTAGAAAATGTGTAGTAAGTAATTGTGAGGGTAAAATTACAGCTCATGGCCTCAAGTTTTAAAATTGATGTTTTTGCGGATTTTTTTATTTGATTGAAGTTTTTATTTTTTTTATCATTATAATTTTTATAATTAATTAATAATAATTTTAATAGCTGGTTTTTAAAAGGATTGCTTGACACAATAAATTACTTTGCAAGATCAAGTAATTTTAATTTTATTTTACAAGATCAAAGGACCTAAATATAATTAACATTTATTATAAAAAGATAAAACTACCTTTCTCACACACACATATATGTGTACTCTTTTAAAAAGTTTTCATTCAGTAAAAAATAAGTTTTCTTTTTACTTTAATAGTAATTAATTTTTTTTATCAATAACTCTAAAAAGTTAACTTGATAACAAAAAAAATTATAATTAGTGGATAAGTCCCGTTTGATAAAAAACAAGTCTTAGGGGCATTTTATCAACAATTAATTATCTTATTAATTGCTTCAAAAAATTAATTTAGTATTGAAGTAGAGAAATAAGTGTTGTGATTTAGTAAATAATTTTTCATTAAAAAAAGTGTCATTGTCATTTTAACAAAATTAATTCTTTCATTAACAACTTTAAAATATTAATTTGGTGGAGAAGAATTGTTGTAATCTAGCAAATAAGTTTTCATTCAAGGAAAAAAATATGTTTTATTTTTATTTTAATAATAATTAATTTTCCCATCACAATAAATAAATAAATAAATATATATATATATATATAAGAGATAGTTTTGTCTTTTCACAATAAATTTTAATTATATTTAAATTTTTTGATCTTGCATATTAATATCAAAATTATTTAGTCTTGGATAGCAATTAATTATATTTAATGGTCTTTGATTGTGATTTTACCTTAAAAAAATTAACTTACTATAGCATGACAGAGTACGGAGAAGATCATCCAATTCCTTCCTTATTATGATTATATTTTTATTTTACTATAGCGATAGTTTCCTAACGATTATGGCATCTGGAATTATGGGTTCAATCATTTATCATTTGGAATGATAGATGGGAATTCATGTTTCTGCAATCATGTCCTCAACCAGGCACCGGTTACGGTATTTGTTTTTTAATATATAAAAATAATGTTTTAAAATATTTGAAAATAATTAAATTAAAATATTCATTATAAAGAGTTGTTGCTTGACAAATTCAATGGATAGAAACTTATAAAGTAATTACTCCACATCATTATTACTCATATTTATAACAAAGTACATTTCTAAAATAAAAATTTTCATGGCCCTATGTAGATTTTTTTCCCCATTTCAACAAAGCTTCAAATCATGTTTAAATGAAGAGATAAAAATTTAAAAAAATAATTTTATCTAAATATTGTTGAGAAAAGACTACCATACAAATACAAGATAACTAAACAATTTTTTTATCAAGGTATCTAGAGTTGGTAATTCAAACTAGCTCAATTAAATCCAAAAATTTTACGACCAAATTTAATATTCAAGCCTATTTGGGTCAGCTTAAATGTTTGAATAAAAAATTATATTTTATAAAATATATTAAATATATTAAATATTAATTAATTATTTAAATTTTAAGTCATACTATATTAAGACGCCATATATTTAAGTACACTATTATACATATTTTAAAAAAATTAAAAATATTTATATTGTCATATTTTCATTATTTTTAATCTATAAAATATCTTCAAATAATATTTAAATTTTTTTAATATTGATTTTTAAATTTTAAAACCCAAATTTTTTTAAAAAAGTTTGAGTATTATACAACATCTAAGCATTCCAAAAAAATATATTTTATATTTTTTATAAAATAAAAAATAATTAATTTTAAATTGAAATTTATTTTAAAAGTGAAAAAATTGTCAATTCAAATATTCAAACACATTTGAATAAGCCCAGAGTCTATAGAGATTCGAGCTATGCTTAGCTCTTTGAGTTTCTAAGTTTGTAATTATTTGAGTTAAGCCAAATTGACTCCAGCCTACTTAAATTATCAACTCTAATGGCATCACATCAATGTTTTCAGAATCAGATCGAACATTGAACTAAAAAATCAGTGGTTCACAATTCACATGGTTCAACCGATTGGACCAATGGTCCAACCGGTAACGTAATAATTAAATTAAAAAAATTATATATATATATATAATAATTTAAATATAAGAAATACATATGAAATTATTATTTAACTTAAAAAATTAAATATTTTAAGTTTATCATGATTTAACAAGTCATATGATACAATATAATATCAAATGATTAAAAAAATTAGTCATTTTTTTAAAAAAAATTCATAAATTTTTTTTTTGAACAGTTCGACTTTTGAAAATTGGATCCGGTTCCCGGCTTGATTCCGGTTCCTGGTCCGACTGCTGGTTCGAAACGGCTCAAACCGGCTCAACTCTTAAAACGATTTTTTCCTTTAAACCTGACCGGTCGACAGTCCGACTGGTCCAACCGGCCGATCCGATCCGGTTTTCAAAACAGTGCATCACATTATTTATGACTTAGAAATATACTGCAACGCAACGAGCAGTAATAACAATAATTAACAATGATGCAGACATGACCAATCAAGAAAAAAAGTTCAAAAAAAAAAAACCCATATTGTGGTGTGTGTGACTTGTAATGAGCTGAGGATAAGAAATGCAGACAAGTAACAAGGTACACAGGCATAGAATAAATAAGTGAAATAAATTATGAAGTTACGGTAAAGTGACCAAAAAATAAAAAAGTTGAAAACACATTGATATGCTATAATATCACAAGGCCCTAACGAAAGAAAAATATTTAAATTTAAATTACACTCTGGTTACAAGCTTCTTCTCAAATAAGCGTCGCAGAAAGTAGACCTGCAATGCACTCGCACCTATTAGTGCTGCTGATTCAAAAAGTGCCTTGTGAACTGCTCTTCGACTCATTGCCTCATTCACTGCAATTTTCAGTCACAATTTAAGAAAAAGAACTATATTTTGAAGCATGAAGCAGTGTGATTGATATAATAAAGCTTCTTAATTAACTTTTATAAGCCAAAAAAAAAAAAACATATCTTCATCAATTCCTACCTGTTGCCTGGCGATCAGTCTGAGCCTCTAGCCAATGCTGTTCAAATTGAATGCTGTAAAGGGCTTGATCCAACTTTTCTATCTGCTCTAGCAAAGGGTTCAAATGTTCTGCAAACATTTTATCAAGTTCCGAGAGGTATTAAATTAGATTACATTTTACAGTTCAAGTTTCAATTTTCTAAGAGAATCAATAATGAAAAGCCAAATATCTACCGTCTTTTGCGTGTTGCTCGTAGTATGAGAAGTGATCTTCATGTACATCAAAGTCAATGGTTTCATGAGCAGGAGACTTGTTGGTGAAGCAGAACTTATGGACTCCTGATTTCTGAGCCATAAACTCAAACTTGTCTGCCGTCTTATCACGGAAATCTTGAATTTGCTCGCCTGAAGGTCCCGTTACCTGAAATTCTCACATAGTTCAGCAACGAGGCTTCAACATGATGATGCAGATCATGCAGGATATCAGAGGAAAAAAACACAGCAAGCATGTGCACATATTCCAATTATTTGTGTGCATGAAACAAAAAAAAAAAATTGTTAGTTGATTCCCCTACCACTCTGCGTAGTTCTATAAGAATAAGAATGGTAGACTCGGGAAAGTAAGCAACAAATGTTGCTCCAATTTACAATAATCAAGATATTTTGACACAAGGTATTAGGTATAAGTTTTAATTTCAATTTAGAGATAAGTTCTTGATCCAATACTTCGTATCAGAGCTCTAATTATGTGTTCAGTTTCCCAAAAAGACATTTTGTGGTAGGCGTGTTTGGACTTTGGAGAGTGAGGGATTGTTGGTGCGGTGTGGCCAGCAAACTACTTCGGCAAAGCCTAGTGAAGAGATACGAGTCTGATCCAAATCATGGTGCTGGGGACAGTGTTCAATCCAAACTAATAAAGCATCTCATATTCAAGTGATATTATGAAATGAGCAATGCAATCTCTAGATGTTTCTGGAGTTATTATGAAAGCTAAGGACTCACACTCATATATTATATACACATGTCGTGTTCTAAGGAGTTATGACCAGTCTCTTATTTTCTATACCTAATTCTTTATTTTCAAGGTTACAATGCTTAGATTTCTGAGTAGTTTTTGTTTCAAACATTCTAAGCTAACTGCTAACAATGTGTGTGTGTGTGTGTGTGTTTTCAAGATGCCTAGGGAATGAATGCCAAAAAAAATATGGAAAGTAGACATAAAAAAGACAATGTAAATAACAGAATCCCAAAAACATCCAATTGTAAATCCAATATCATTTATGGATTTCTTGATAGAATGCACAATATCTCTGTAAGTCTGCAATCTTATCAAAATGAAAGAAATTGAACTTAATGATCCAGAAACTGTCCTATTAGTCATAATCATTGGGGAAAAAATGTTCTATTCCTATATTTTTAAATGAAGTGCATATTCACATAAATGTCCTCAAACTAGCAAGCCAATTCTGCATGGTGAATACAAATATTTCCAACAGGGAATTTGAAGCAAGACTACTCATGAATTCTCTCGCAAGTAATGAAACATATAATAAATTTCAACCATGTGGAATTGTGAGAGAAACCATGATTTCTAACAACAACACACAGAACAATGTGAATCTTCCATATTCACAAGAGGGATTGCATATAATGGATTTGGAAAGAGACAGAGAGCAAAGACAAAAGCCTGCAAAGAAAACATGACAATTATGTACATATTTGTGCTATTCTTTTTCCTTGATTACATAATTATATGCATTTTGCAGTCAATTTGTCATTGCAAAGAATTCGAATTCCTCTATTTTGCACTTGTACACAGAACATCCTTAATGTTCTAGTATCAAATATTGTCTTGTCTGCAGAATGAAATTCTAGAGCCTCCAATAACACTATCAACGCAATTCAAAGATTGATGCATATGGAACTTATAAAGTCTAAGAAGGGGAAACATAAAAGCCTTTATCGAACGATTAAAGACCAAACTAGTTCAAGAGTTAATGATCAAAAGTCAAACCGTGATTAGACCGGTTCTAAACAAAATTCAATGGTTTGCTGAGGTTGACCTGATTTTCAATGCAATGGCCTTTAACCATTAAGCCTTTTGATAGAAGAAACTACAAATTGAAGAGAGTAATATTGGAGAAAAGAGCAGAAGCAGCAGAAAAAGAACATACCACAAGATCGACACCTTCGCCGCCGAATCGCCAGAGAGAATCAGCCTTAATAACAACGAAAGAAACATGGACAGTGTCACCTTGGTATTTAACATCATGGGAGAAACACTCCTCTCTGTCTATCACAAACCTAATCCCTTCGGACCCTTTGAGGTTCCATAACACCCCAACCATCATAAACACCAAGACATGCCTCCAAAATCCCAACCGCCGCAATTCCATCTTCACAAATCAATGAAAAAAAAAAAATCAGAACAACTTCTAATTTTGATTTCAAGATCAAATGAGACCAAAAAAAAAGTAAAAAACAAAGATACCTTGCTTTTGGTGACGACTGACGAGGATGTCCGAAGAACCAAAAACAAAAAAAAAGAGGTTTTGGTTTTAGCTTATGGAGAGACTAAGGTTGAACAAGAGAAAGTTGTACGACTTCAGAACGTATTGATGTCACCGAGGAGTCAGGGATGCAGTTCAAGGTTTTAGTCGTCGTGAAGAAGTGGAACTGGTTGGTGGATTGGCAAGGAGAAACGACGTCGCGTGTTACTGTGCTTGGCTTACGTGTCAGCGTGTGATTGGAGAACAGATTTGAAGGCCAATAATAGGTTTACAGGTCGGATGCGTTTCGCTGTTTCGCTGTCTTAGATTTTTTTAGGCCAACAGTTTGAAAATTACCCTTTCAAGTTTCAAGCGAAAATTTAGTTTTTTAAAATGGAAAATTAAGAGGCTGTTTGGTTTAACGTGACTAGAAAAGGATAATAATGCTTCACCAAAAACAAAAATTAAGAATAGGGATAACAATATGCCAGAACTAGATAGATCATAGGCTTATCACTCAACTTCTTCAAATAATTGAATAAGGTTGAAGGTTAACTAGCGTTATATCTATCAACAAATTTTTTTAATATAAAAACATAATATTATTTTACCTTATATTTTTGCTAAATAAAGTAATAAACAAGAACTAGATGAATTGTAGGCTAATGCTCTTAATATTGTTCACGGTATAGATAATATGTAGTTATTTTACAAATAGAATAATTTTTAAAGTTTAATATTATATGTAGATATGTGGATATAGAGTAAGACTATAAAGATTAAGAATAAAAGAAGTTCAAGGTAAGAAAACGATAAAAGAAGTCAAAAGATTTTTTTTAAAAAATCTTAAATATTCCTTTTTTTACCAGCTTAAATATCAGTTATTCTTTAATATGAATCAATAGTATCAATATTGATATCACTATTATCTTTTTTTTTTTAACAGATATCATTATTATCATTATCATCAATATAATGTATTCTTTAATAAGAATCAGTATTATCAATATTGATATCGCTATTATCGTTATCATCAATATAATGTATGAACACAATCAATAATCATCAATCAATAAAATTTATAATAATAATAACTCATATTAAATATATAAGGAAAGATAAATAACAAGTAATAGAGTTCATATTTCATTCTCATCATATATAGCTTACCTGATGATGTGACGATAAGTAAAATAATAAATTATCTTCCATAATTTAAATATAAAATCTGTTTGAAATTTAAATACTAACTAATATAGCCTAAATATAATTTAATTAAAAATTAAAAATTATATGATTATATTTTTCGAAAAATATTGGTAAATACTGTATATTGTATTTACTATAGATATATTCTAAATCGATAAAAATATTAGAGATTCTAATAAAAATAATAATAAACAATTATATTTTTGAATATTTGAATTTTAATTCAGATAATAAATATTTTATATTTATATTCTTATTCTTGATTCTATGAAAGTAATCAAAAATATCAAAATTATAAATTATATAAATTATAAAATTAAATAGGAATTGAATCCAAACTGGTCCACAAAAGCTGATGTCGTGGCACAACGCTATTGGGCAGCTGGACGCGTATATCCCACCCATACGCGTGTTGCATATATAAAGAAACAAATGTGCGTACTCTTATAATTATCGAATTCGATTAGCATCCGGGAACCCCAAAAAATAAAAGTCCATTTCGATCCTCGATCTGAACAAGAAGAGAACAGAGAGAGAAAGAATGGACGCCATTGATTCCGTCTTCGATCCTCTCAGAGAATTCGCCAAGGACAGCGTTCGACTCGTTAAGCGCTGCCACAAACCTGATCGCAAAGGTGAATCTCCATCTTACCATGCCGATTTTCTCCCTCTATTTTCTTCCGTCTTCTGGTTCGATTTTTTTTCTCTGGTTATTTATTGGACGCTTTTGATTCTAGAGTTCTCCAAAGTTGCTGTCCGCACAGCGATCGGTTTCGTAGTGATGGGATTTGTGGGTTTCTTTGTCAAGCTGATCTTCATTCCAATCAACAACATCATCGTCGGATCTGGTTAGGTAAAGTTATTGTTGTTGTTGTTGTTATAGTATGCTCTTTCTTGCTTCTACTGTTTTCGCCTGCACCGTTTTGGTTTCTAGTTGTTGTGTGGTAGTCCTTGTGGTTTTCTGATTTATGAGGAGCTGATATTTTTGCTTGTTGGAGCTATGTGCAATTTTCTCCGTCATTTCCTTTTCTAGTAGGTGCTGATTGTAAAGGAGAATGATTTGGCTATATGATTGTGTTGTTCTGTATTAGCTTGAACGATTTCATTTTTGGGAATTAATGGGAGGGAAGGAACTGAAAATTTGATACTCTGTTGCATTTGGATCCTATCGCTATTCAGTAGCATAATAGATTGGTAGTCTAAGATTCGAGCTGTAGTGTTGGGGCCAAACCTTCATAGGCGTGCAACATGCTAATTTCGATGAACTTTTCCTGTAATGGTTGACTGTTCACTGTAGAATTCTTAGAGCTTCTTCATCCTAGAAATGGAACCCAGTATTCCCTCATTCCTTTTGAAGTTTTTACTGGTCATTCTTCATGCTTCCTTTCAAGGAATTCTAGCGATAATTGGTTGTTACTTGTTAGTCTTGTATTTTCTCTCTGTTCCTTGAAGTTTTTTTTTTTTTTGGGTAAAGTATGGTTTTTTTTTTCTTATTTTGGATTATACCAGTTAAGAATCGAGTTGAGATGCGCAATCCTCATGAGAAACACTAGTAAAAATCCAATCGAGTTGAGTGAACTGGACTCTTTTCTTTTGGCCACTGGATTAGAATTTCTTTTTACAGGATTAAAACCTAAACGATTCTTACTGCAAAAAACACAAGTGATAATTGGTTATTACTGCATTTTATTTGGCTTGAATTTCGTTAGGTGATAATCGTAAAAGGCAATTCACAAGATGTAGTCCGTTATTGTAGTCTGTAAGGCACCAATGGGTACAGACATGGACATATGATCTTGACATATCTGTGTCATGGTCATATATAAAACTTGATGGCTGCAAATGGTATTATACTAAAATTGTATTACACTAAAGCTCAATCCACACGTATAGCATTACAAAAGAGAGAAACGCTCAAGAAAAATAACCGCAAGGTTCCATAAAAGGAAGAACAATAGTAGAAACATAAAGTAAGTATAGATAGAGAAGGATAGAATCAGAAAGAAGAAGAAGATCCTCCAGGAACGAAGGCCAGACGGAAATTCAGGGAAGGAGAGGTTTCACCAAAATTCTTCACGCCTTCAATTATGCCTTTTCTCAAAATATAACGTCCATTTCTCTCGCCTACAAAAGGCTTGACCTAATTCTTGGCCCACTCATTATATCTCCAGCCCATACTTCTACTAGGCCCATTCCACTCCAGATTTATATCATGACAATCTGCTTTAGCCTGTTACTTAGGCCATTTGCGTAGGAGTCATAGTTTAATGACCAAGACTACAACAAGAACGTTTAGATCAAAGTTTTACTTTATTTGACCAAAGGGCTATGAAGATTGAGATGCAATGGAGACGAGGAGATCTTGAATCTAAAGAAATTAAATATATATGGGTGGGATGGTAGGCTTGTCAGCTTGTGTGTGTTTATCAGTCCTTACCGAATCATGTTGATGCATAATCTTATGATGTCACGTGCTCTCTATTAAAATGTTACTTGTTCATGCATAATTTTGACTAAAGGAATTTTTGTTGAAAGAATTTCTTAAATACGTTTGGTTCTATGTAATTATTGTATGAATTGACTTTTGACTTTTGAAATTGAATGCGAAGTGATAAAGACTGATTGATAGATATTGTTGATGTATGGAGATGGGACATTTATTTGCCTTGGTGAATGAAAATCTAATGATTGCTGGTTGTGTCTCAGGATGAGAAAGGACTGTTGGCACTCAAGAAATGCAGACTGGCATGCGAATCAGAAAAAGATCCTTTTCATTAGGATGATTTAGTGTTTTTGTTTTTTTTAAATTTCCATTGTATCATTTTTTTAAATCTCAGTAATTATACGTTCGTAATTTGTGGACGTTGAGAATATGTGGACTTGTGATCTAGGACAAAGTGAAAAGGTACTGAGGAGGCATTGCAATTTTGCTTCAAGTCGTTTTATATGCTTTTCATTTTCCTTTCTTGAGATCAATACTATGTTTGGTCGAGGGCTTTTGGAGATATTTCCTTCACTTACTTGGGTCACCAAGAATGGTTCTACCCTGTGTTTGGATTTGGACTTGGCTTCTCCGCATTTCATCTTCACAGTACATTTTAGCTATTACATTAAGTTTTGAGGGTTTTATTGAATCTGGACTATTCAAAATTTAATCTAATGGCCAATGACTAAAATGTGCGGCGAAAAAGAAGGGATAAGTAAATGGGGAGAGGCCAATTCAGCATTAAGAAATTGGAGGCTACCGGTTAACTGCCTCTCTTTCCTTTACATGTTAGGAGAGGGGTGTAGATAAATTTTTCAAGTCTAAATTATTTTTCATCAAATTTTTTATTTCCAATGTCTTTTGTCAAAACATTATTATCATGTATTTCTTCCTCATTTGTATCTCTTCCTGTCTCAAGTTTTAACTTAAAATTTAACAGTATAAAATTAACCGAATAGTTTTTCTTCAAAAATTAGATTAATATGAAATTATAGTAAATAAGATAAAGGACTTCTGATATGAAGTTTTGGCATTTTAAAAAGCTGAAAAAATATAAATTTGAATAGAGTACAACAACAACAACAACAACAAGCCTTTATCCCACTAGGTGGGATAAATTTGAATAGAGTATAATAGATTAATTTGTTATTAACTTTTCTCTTCTGTCGTTTTAAATCAAACAAAAGATAGTTAAAATCTTCCTTCCCTCCTAATTGCACCAAACAAGAAATGTTAAAATCATGTCCCTCCTCCTTTTCTCTTCCGTCCATAAAATCTTTTTTTCCTTGCATTAAAATCTCTCTCCCTCCTCTGTCACCTCCTCTTCATTGAACCAAAAAAAACTAAGAAAGAAAGAAAGAAATAAAATTGATTTCATCGAAGAAAAAATTCTGGTATGTTTGTTTTTATATAGATGTCTTGAGTAATAAGACACAGTTTTTTTCCCAAAAAAAAAAAAGTAACACGTAATAAGACACAGTTGTTGTCAACAACTTTTTGTTTTCAGTTCCATTTTTTTGTTAATTATAACATAACCTTTTGAAATTTTTTTTATTGTTTTTAGGTACCTAAATCTTTTCTGAAATTTTTATAATTATTTATGTCTTGATCCTCTTTTAGAGTGTGTCTCCTTAACATGATCATTTTAATTATATATTCCTTTTTTTTAAGAATATTTGTATTTGGAACCAATTAACTTTACATGGTTCATGCATGTCTCATTTATGATATTTAATAATTCTCATTTCGGTTAGTTGCATGTGATAGATATTTTGAAATATTTTATGAATGTATTTGATGAACTTTTAATTTATATTGTTATTTGAGAGGATTTACTTAAGATAATGATAATGCATTCCTTATATTTTCTTTTCCAGCTAGTCTTTTCTCCCCCTCAAGTTGAAAAACCTTGGTTAAATAATGTTCAACTCATCATCTAGAATAAATCTCCTACTCCATTTGTTTTCTTTAAAAAAACATTTATTTGTTTCATTTTGAAACCAACAAGAAGGAGTTCTTCACCAAACATCTATTCCCAACTTTCTCCAATATCTATTTGTTGTCGTGGAATAATAATAAGAATAATCAATTGCACATTTGAATTTGATAAATATATGGCTCCTGATCAAAAGCCAATTTTAGAGGGAGAATTTTGTTTATTTAAAATGTATAAGTGCTGCAATGTGTAAGATCAAATATGTCAACACTAAAATAGAAATTTTATTCTTATAAGTATTAATCTATCTTTTTATGAAGGTTTTAATAAATAATTTTGCTAAACCACTTTGTAAAATATGTTTTTCAACTATTTTTCTCACAACCACATTATTGCAAAGTTGAGATATAAATTCATTAGAATTTTGAACAGAAATTGTTTGAATCACATACTCTAGGAATTATGCACTCATTGTAATGCTTTATTCAAACAATTTTGCAAATTTCAAGTTGCAAATTAGAAATAATTATACATGTAACCATCTTACAGATACATTTACAAAATTTATTAAATACTTGTATGGTTTACATGCTATTTGAATAAGCCCATATATATGAATTTGATGTTGGAATATTATTTATGAATTAATATTAATTAATAAGCATAATAGTTTAGTCTTTGTGATCTTGTGTAGACCGTGATAGGTGGACCATACAAGTGAGCCCAATAGGCAGATGCCCAACCCACAATCCAGTAGCCGTCAGTTATTTCCTATCTCTTAACTGATTGAGTCAGAGATAATAGATAATATAATTATCTAATTATTTAATAAGGCAGTTACATATCTAATCTATATAAGTCGATCAGTCGATAACTGCATATACATGACTCATTTTCTTCTACTTCATTATCCCTGAACTCTCTGAAGGCTCTGAGGACCTGTGGGTTGTGTACCTGCTTACACTTGAGGTAATCAAACTTTCTCAAGCGCTCATGGATTCTTCAGGTACCCATACATTACTTTACTTGTTTATATGAATTGAGATATACAGATCTAACATTTGATGTATTTTCAAAAATATGAATATTCATTCCAAATCATAATTAGAAATATTCTCATAATCAATCATTAAGTAGGACATACTGATTATCTAATTATAATATATATATATGTGTTGGCTATTGGCAAAGAATCGTTTTGTTCTTCAATAGATATCAAAATATATTCTCAATAATTCTTTACATCATATGTATGATCCAAAATAATCAAATAAGTTATACCCACAATATATCTGCTAAGGTCAGTAAACTTCTCATTTACTGTAACCATATTTCTTAACCAGCTATAAACTTATCAATTTTTGTATAACATAAGACTAATTTAAAATCTTAATATGGCATCCATTATATGACATCCATTTACGATATCAATTGGGATTTGAGAGGAATTATATAAATGAAAATCTATTCACAAGGAGAAGTAATAATGATATTGTCATCGAGGCGACTATTATGAATATTATATGATTATATGAGTGAATATTCATGACTTTTAATATCTATGATTCTTCATCTTTCATAACCTCTCAATGTATGATTTAGAAGTAGTTTCTCGAAGTTAATGTCTCATAGCTTCCAAAGGTTACATATTATACTATGATGTCATTTTTTATTCATATGTAACATTAAGATTAGGCTTTAATATTTGAAGACTTATAAATAGAGGTCATGTACAGAGCATTGAGTATCCAAGTGAATAAAATATACTATCTCACTTTCTTCCCCAATTCTTCTTCTCTTGTTACTCTCTTTTCCTACTCACTTTCTCATTTTTTCCATAACATTATTATTACTTTATTTAGAAGACTTATTAAATTACTATATACAAAATTTAAAATTAAAATTCACTATATGAAAAATTATTTTATTTTTTATAGGGGCTTTTGCATATAAGCCCATTTTAGAGAACTAAACTCAACAAACAACCTAATATTTATTATATTTTGTATTATATCCATTTTAATATTTAGTTGACTTTTATATGACAAAATTATCCTTTTTACAAATAATATGACCTTCTTTCAAATATTTTTTTTGAACAAAAACTTTCTTTCAAATACTTGAATATAGAAGAGAGCTTCATTTGACCCTTAAAAAAAAATAATGAGATTAAGCATCTCATATCTACAAGATTAAATGGTGTTGATAAATTTTTATTGATATGGTTTATCAGTAGTATACAATTATATATCATTGATATACTATCGTAGATCAAAAACATGAAAAAATATAATCATTTACCTAGAATAAATCAAACACAATTCATAAATTTTTTTGGATATATTAGCTTATCAAAAGAATCAAATATCTAAACTAATAACTTTCTTTTTTCCACCATAAAAAATAACGAGATTAGGCATCCATATATCTACAAGATTAAATAGTATTGATAAGTTTTAATTGATATAGTTTATTAGTAATATATAATTGTATATCATTGATATACCATCATGGATCAGAAACACACAAAAAATATCATTTTCTCATAACAGATCAAATACAGTTTGTAAAATTTTTTAGACATCTTAACTTATCATAGAGAATCAAATACCTCGCTGCAATGAACATTATGGGTTTACATTCATTTTCGCATAAGGATGCCTAGCAATGAGAATCATCTGTAGAGGTACAAAATTGCACTATTCATGTCGGGATGCCTCTTGTAAAAGAGTACATTTATTAGGATAATAAAAAAAAACAATTTGCAAACAGCACCTTGATTCCTCCACCTACCAAAAAAGAGAGGAATGATTGTGAAAGAAGAAGAAATGTGATGGATGTGTGTGTAGGGATTTGATTTAGTTAGTCAAAGGTTAAAATCATTTAATTAGTTATTGAAGATATATTCATGAACCAATTTATCCACATTTTAATAATATTTTTTTGTGGTTAAAAAAATCACCTTTAATTGATTTTATAAATTGATCATATTTTAAAATAGTTAAAAATTTTATCCATAATTTATAAAAATTAAATTTTTCATAATCATTAGACTAATTTACTCCTTTTTATGTATAGTATAAAATAAAAATTTTAAATATTAGACCATTCGAAACAGATTTACACTCACTTGGACAGTCCAGAATTTAGATCCTATCATTTTGATGACCGCGTGGCTCCATGAGCACTAACAACTAACTGCAAAAACAGAGCATACGGTAAAAGACGATATTGGTTGGAAGCAGAGGGATTATCACTTCGTGTGTTGACAAACCCCCTCCGTCTAAATCCCTTGCTTTCCTTTTTCCTTCTTTGGCTTCTCAATTTTCATTTCACAATCCACAATGCACTCTTCGCTTTCTCTCAAGCCTACGCTTCAAGCAGCCCCTTCACTCTCTTCCAAAATCCCTTACTGGATTCCGCCACCAGCTCAAATGAATTTGTGTGCAAGGAACTCTTTTCCCTCTTTCTCTGTTCGATCCCAGGTCAAAATTTCTTCGTGGCTGATTTATATTTGTTATTTTTTGGTTTTTTTGGTTATCTTAGAGTATGATCTAGGAAGTCAGTTGGGTTTGTTGGAGTTCGCTGGAAATTGAAAGAGCAATAGGATTTGTGACTTCCAATTAAGTTAATTAGTACGGAATCTTTTGTAGTGAGGGAAAACATTTATCTCTAAGGCGTAGTCTTAAAATTCTTTGCTGTGTATAAACTAATTTTTGTTTAAATTGATTGATTGATTGATTGCAATGTTATCTACATTGCGGTTTGGGCTATAATTAGTCTTTATTATTTTATTTTATCTCGTTTTGTATAAAGTTGGACCCTTTCTTTCATACAGTTATTGATTTTCATAATTTCGATATCTCATTCACGATAGAGTATGATTAAATAATACTTTTGTTTAGTCTGTATTTGACTTCATTTTTAGTGTAAAGGTGAGATATTTATGTAGTGAGGAAACCTAGTTGTTACTCTATATTCTTTAAGCCATATTCTGGTTCCTTTTCATAGCAGGGGTCAACTGATACCTCGCCTGGAATAGCTACATCTAGTGAATCTTTGTCAGATTCTCTCAAGATAAAAGAGTGGGAAGTGGGCATGTTCCACAATGAAGTTGCTGCCAGCCAAGGTATAAGAATAAGGAGAAGACCACCAACCGGTCCCCCTTTGCATTATGTAGGACCCTTTGAATTCCGGTTGCAGAATGAGGGAAACACTCCTCGTAACATTTTGGAAGAGATTATATGGCATAAGGATACAGAAGTCACACAAGTACTATAAATGATTGCTTTTCTTCTTTAAATTCACTTAAATATATTTTTTTCCATAAAATAAAATGTGAATTGGTTGACTTTCAGCTGAAAGGGAAAATGCCTCTCAGTGTACTGAAGAAAGCTCTTGAAAATGCTCCTGCTACCAGAGATTTCATTGGCTCTTTAAGGGCGGCCAATGAACGAACTGGACTTCCAGGATTGATAGCTGAAGTGAAGAAAGCTTCACCAAGTAGAGGTGTCTTGAGAGAGGACTTCGATCCAGTGAGTGTGTGCTCCTTGAGATCTGTTATATGTTTATCTATGACTATGATTTCTCAACTTTTTTAAAAAATGTGTGAATTTATTATTGGTGCCAGTGTGGATTTTTATATGAACTGGCTGGCACCATCATTGCAACTTGTTGGATGGATGCTGCTCAATTTTGTATTTTCATTTGGCTTCCTACAATCTACGAGTTACTGCATGCATACTTGATGTAAAGTGATATTTGCAAGAATAAGTCTTGTATAATTGCTCACTAAAAATTGCTTTTGCCTTTTTCTGAGCATCTTGTACTGTTTTTCATGCCTCCTCCCCTTTATTGACTTTCCTCCTAACGCTCTCCAATGCCCAAGGAAATTAATTCTTGATGTCACCATCAGAAAGCTCCCCTTTTTCCTATTACTTTAAATAATAAAGTCATTGTTGTACTTCTTATGCCTTTTCAACTTCCATTGACCCAATTGGAACATATTTGTAATCTGTGATATTCTTTCTGCTGCTCCTATCTACCGTTTCTTTTGTACTTTCAATTTTTTCATGATTTCTATTTTTAGAAGCACGCCACTCTCCTAAAGTAAACAGCTATGATATGAGTATGAGAAGTAAAACAGTTGAGCTTCTGTGTATTGTATCTTTTTTCTTGATGTCACAGGACTTCATCTAGTGGGATAGGACTTGTTGTTTTCTCAATTTTTTCTTGTAAATTTATTTATAAAACTGGTTGTAATTCATGGTTTCAAACAAATAGTTGCTTAAAACTAAGGAACTAATTTGAATTTGTTGCTTCTGGAAGATTTCTTATTTTCTCATTGAATGGATTATTTTATCTCCTAGTGTTTTCATAACTGTCTGAGCACCCTATGTAATGAGTAATAATCACCATAGCCATCTAGTTTGTTTTTTATTTTCTCTTCATGGTTCTTTGTTATAGGTTGAAATAGCTAAAGCTTATGAAAAAGGTGGGGCAGCGTGTTTAAGTGTTTTGACAGATGAAAAGTTTTTTAAGGTACACTGCATATCTTGTAATTTGTCTGAATCTCCATACAACTTGATTGTTGCTAAGTGATATTTGGTTGTTGATAAGCGGGCGATATAGCATCTCAACTATAGCTATCTCTAACATGCTTTTGTTGCTATCTAAACAGGGGAGCTTTGAAAATCTTGAGTTGATAAGGAAGGCAGGAGTAAAGGTTTACTGGCTGAATTGTTTTGCTTTTTGATACTGGGTTTATTTTATTACCTGAAGCTTGATGTATGCTGTTTGTCTTAATTTCCTAAAAACATGCAGTGCCCTTTGTTGTGCAAAGAATTCATCGTAGATGCATGGCAACTTTACTATGCTCGAATTAAAGGTGCAGATGCAGTTCTTCTTATTGCTGCTGTTTTGCCGGATCTTGATATTAGTTATATGATTAAGATATGCAAGTTACTTGGACTGACTGCTCTCGTGGAGGTAGAGTTGATGCTTCTTTGTTTGTTCTGTTACTTATATTGTGCATTAATTCTATTTGCTAAAATTAAGCTGAAGTGTGGCAAAACTCCATTATTTTGACGCTCAAATCTAAAACCTATTACTTACCACCTTACATTGACAACTACACCTGAACTTTTTTATGGACGAGCTCTTTTCTATTTGTGACAAAGAGCTTTCCACTTCCCTAAGATATGTTCCTTTCGTTAGACTACAAAAAATTACACGCATATTATCATAATGTAAATAACTTTAATTCAATTTTCCTAAATCCTTGAATGTGTATGGCAAGTTTTCTAGTTTTGTTACTGCCAATTCAGAATCTGCCTGCCCAGCCCCTGTCTTTAATCTTAAGTAAAGTGAAGTCAAATAAATGAAGTGAACAGCCCAACCTCTTTGTTTTTTGCTTTGCCGGGAAGCTTCTACTTGTTGAAGCAAAGCTTCCACAAAAAACAATAAATAGTGGGGTCTGTTGTGTTGTAAGTTCATTCTTTTTATTTGATGATAACCAGAAGAAAATATCCATTTATTTTGAATCTTTGTGTTGTTCGCCCCCAGGTGCATGATGAGAATGAATTTGATCGTGTTCTTGGAATAGAGGGGATTCAGCTTATTGGCATCAATAATCGTAATCTTGGTATGCCATGATTCTGTCTCCTGATAAAATAGTTATGCTCTTTCTGTTGCATCTTTCTATAAAGATGAAGATTTCTGTTATTTTTTAGGATAATTGTCCTCTACTGATGCCTAGAGATTGGGATATCTGTTATCATTATCTGGAGATAGGTATATTATTTTTGTTTTGTTGATACCTGTTGTATTTGTGTCATCCAGAGATCTGGATGCAAGTCTCGTAGTTGTTTTCTGTATATCATATTAGCAGAGAGTTGGAGGATGCTCTGGTAATAAGCCTTGTCCATGAAATCTCTCATTCCACCATGAATTTTGACTTGGTTTGATGTCAGAGACCTAACTAACAAATCTGATTTTCTGATAAGTTGTTCGTTATTTGTTGAAGTCTGTGGTCATTGTGCAAGTAAGAGTTGTTATTTTCATAACCTTACTCATTGTTCAATTGAGTTATATGGTCATTGTTTGAGCACAAGTTTGTTGGTGGAGCTCATTGTTCTTTAATAAATTAGTTGTTCGCAATCCTGTTGCACTTCGTGATAAGTTAATTGAAAAGTGAAGTTTTTCTAACAAGCTTATGGAGTATTTAATTTGTGGGTTAATGTTGAAAAACGTATAGAAATATTGTTGGGTAAGTGCTACAGCTTGAGTAGAGATGTTAAAGAAAAAGGATTTTATTATATTCTAGCATAATTGTCGCTTTTTGTTACCTGGAGACTAAGAAAATGAGCTGTCATTTCCTGAAGATTAGCATGTCATTCACCATTATCTAAAGATATGGATCCTGTAGTTGGTGTTCTGTTTTGTGTGCCTATCATCTCCTGGAATAGTAGTATATGAGAAACCTTCTAGTTCATTTAGTTTCTTGAATAGTGTACGATGGTTAGGTTAAACCAAGTCTTTTATTCACTAGTGTGGTGGATTTGTATTAATTGTACTAACCCCTGTGCTTGATGGAATTTACAATTTTAAATTGACTCATCGGGTGCCTATCTCAGTAGAGTCCCATTTAGATCATTACACGATATATTAGTTCTGTGATGTCAAAAATGTATGTTTTCATGTTCAAACCTCAACACGTGTTTGACTCTAAATTATCAACAATTTTCTAGTTCATCTTTGAATCTTCTCATTGTTGTCTTATTTTGAAATTAAGTGCATCACTGACCTATTGTTGCTTTGTTGTTTTTGGTATGCAGAAACATTTGAGGTGGATATCAGTAACACCAAGAAGCTTCTTGAAGGAGAGCGAGGCAGAATAATCCGTGAGAAAGACATAATCGTATGTCCTTCATTTCTCTACCAAGACTTCCTTGAAAGATCCGTGTTTTTGTAGTGATTATCCTGCTAATGCTTATCTTGTTCCTTAAACTGTTTGTTAAGGTTGTTGGGGAATCTGGTCTGTTTACTCCCAATGACATTGCCTATGTACAAGAAGCTGGTGTCAAAGCTGTAAGTATTGTGGATATTATTTCCATATTATCAATCAAACCTGATCTACAAATTCAACATTATATTGCCTGTTTGAATAACATTTGTAATCATTTTTTGAGGTCAAAATTATGGTTTTGTGAAAATATATCTAAACACCTTTGTTACGTGTTATAATCAATTATGAATCCAAAATCATGTTTTCCTAAAAATATTCAAACACCCATTATACATGCTAAAATCAATTATGAATTCAAACCATGGTTTTTTTAAAAATATCTATACACCTCTATATGTGTCAAAATCAATTATAAAAAAATATGATTTGTAAAATAATTTATTTGATGTTTGGATAAATTTGAAAAGTATAATTGAAAATATGAATTGAAAAATAGGTGATAGTAGCTTATGAGCTAATTGTGGTTTTGGGTTCATAATTGATTTTGGTATGTATAATGGGTGTTTGGATTTTTTTGGTGAACATGGTTTTAGATTTATAATTGATTTTAACATGTAACAGAATGTTTTGATATACTTTCACAAAACCATGGTTTACCTTGATTTTTAATTCTGCTTTTCAATTCTAATTTTTATACCTCATAACATAATCAATTATATTCAAAATCAATCATATTAATCAATTTTTTTCATAATTAGTTTTATCCAACTAAAATCCAGACATGCATAATTGATTTGTTCTTCCACTTCATATTGTAAGCATCCTCTATCACAATTTGGGGTCAGCCTCAGCCATTTTGAATCATAATACAGCCAAGAATGCTTGACTGAAACGGTCAGAAATTCGGGTTTAAATAGAGTTAAAAGCGCTTGATTTCCCTTAATCGAGGTCAATGGTTTGAACTTTATTAACGAAAGGCATCATGTTAAGAAATCTACTCTCATTTGGGCCTGACAATAAATGAACCGTTCCAATGATCCTGGATAGTAGATAGATTTTTTTTTTCCCCAAAAGGCTTGTGCCAATGGATAGTTGGTTCAATTGGCAAGAGGATTGTACTGGCTTAATCAAAGGACTCGAGTTTGAGTTTTGAGAGTATGACAGTGTTGGTGGGAGAGCTTCCACTCGAAGGTATCTCATCCCAGGTCGATCCGGATTAATTTGGGCCTCTATTAAAGTCCCCTTTGCTTGACGTGGGACAGGTCTAGAATAATGGGTTCTCTACATAAAAAAAAAAAAAAAAGCTTGCAGGCGATAAATAAACAGTGCTAGTTGATTGTAGTTAGCCATATCAGTTATCACTCCTGTCTCCCACCAATTCCATCAAGTTAAAACCATGTCCTCTATTGTGATTGAGAATACAGTTATTGAAATTTGGTGAGCAGTGCATGCAGGCAATAACTGTAATGTAATGTCAAACTACAATTTGCTGTTTATTTGCAGGTTTTGGTTGGAGAGTCTATTGTAAAACAAAGTGATCCTGGGAAGGGAATCAGCAATCTTTTTGGCAAAGATATATCTCACCAAATCTGAAGTTAGCAACCTTTGCTTGTCTGTACGAAAAATAAGTTATTTAGTTTACCACAAAAAAAAAAATTTCTGAAAATGCTTTTGAATCAGATTTATGTATGACATGTTAATTTGCTACGTCAAGTCCTTGTGGCATTTAACCCAAGTTTGCAACAATTTTTCTGTTTCCTTTCTCATCTTTCTGGTAGTGATTAGTTTAACTTTAAACTTGGGAGATCAATTTAAAAATTTTAATTAAACCTTAAAATTTGAATACTAATTCAACATGGATTTGACCTTCTTATTTGAGCCTCGATAAAGGGATATTAACCGTCAGACTGTGATCTAATGGTGTGAATGCATATATATTTTCTTTTTTGAAAAAAATTGTAACTTACATTTTAGCACCATTAGATCACAAATTAATCAATTGGGACTCAAGTGGGGAAGATCCAAATCCTTCAACATCAAGTGTAGGAGAAATTCTATATGAACACAGCCGAGGGTGGGAGCTTAGGGAAAATACTTAAAAGTTTAAATGTTATCTACCTTGGGCCTATTGATAAGTTATTCTAGCAAAGTAACAATGTCGTTGAAATGAAGGAAAGATAATTAGATTATTGATGTTGTTTGAAAAAGACACAAAATTCTCAATTTATTTTTATTAAATGCATTATTTTTAAACATTTACTCTCTCATATAATTTTTCACTCTCTATTGGTTGAAAATTGTGAAAAGGTAGAATGGGGTAGAAAATGATTAATGATCCATATTTTTATGCAAAGTGGCTTGTATAAAGGTCAAAAAATGCTTTTTAAAAGATGATTTATAAATAGAACAAGAAAAGTAAAGTTGACGTATGTGATCATGACTCTTATTATTTAAATAGTTGAGTGTTTAAATCTCAATCCTTTATTTTTAGTTCCTGAAAGAAGATAATTTCTATTATCGGCGGAATCATCACCCTTATGCTCACAGAGGAAAAAAAGACTTGAGTGGAGACAAGACAAGGAAATGTCGAAAAAGGGTAGAAAATTGAATGTTCAGGTATTATTCAATCCAAATATTTTATGAAAATAAAAAATTAAAAAAAATAGTATCTCCGTCTACCCAGTTCTTACAAATTATTCTGCACATAACCCTTTGATAGTTGATATCTTGTTGGAGAAGAGATTCCTTTTTTTTTTTTTTCCTGGTGGAAAAAGACTAAGACGTGTTATATTTATTATACTTTTATTTCGTTGATCGAGAATCGCAGTTCCTTTCATTTTTTTGGTCCCAAACTAATTGTTCACTTTGGTAGGGAAGGTGTGTCAGCAAGAGTGAAAAAGACGCTATGCCTTGGATGATGACTAGGGAGAATAAAACCATAATAAAAGAAAAAGGAATTAACCTAACAGATTTAATCCGGAAAATCATTAAATCTTCACCAGCTAGAGATTTGATATTCCAAATTCCAACCAGACAGTTGATAAATTACAAGTGGATTTTTCTGTACGTTATTTAATTATTCTGTAGTTATGTCTTACTATTGACATTGTTAACTTATTTTTAAATTATATTTGGCAAAGTACGCTAACTATATCATTTGGGAGTATTAATACTATCCGCCCAAATTAATTTAGATTCCGCTGTGTACTTGTACCCCTTTCCTTGATATGTTTATTTGGAATTTTCATTGGAAAATATTTTATAAAAGATTAAAAAAGTTAAATAGATTTCAGTTTATAATTTCTTGGTGCATGCCAACAGGAGGAGCTGGCTCTAGTGAAAAGGATTAATTTTTCATAATATGACGAATTAAAATTTAAATTTTTATTAAAAAATATGCCTATATTTAATGTCCGACTATATCTTGAATATGATTGCTTTTAATAAAAAAATATTTGTAATGTGAGCAATGAAAAAAATATTTTTTGATATATCGAAGGATGTGCATAAGTTTCAACATCAATGCATTGAGTAATTTTTAAAAAAATTACTAAAAATATTAATTAACGTCCAAAAAAATAAAAATTAAAACCTCGATGAAATAAAAACATCGATATACATGTTGACCTTAAAATATTATTATTACTCCTCTTATAATAACTTTTAGATCTAGACTTGCAAATGAACGACCGGTGGCCACTGAACTAAAATATTGGAGCATTTACTAAGGGATCAAGTCACTTAATATATATCATTTGCCTCTATCGTTATTTTTATGCTATATATTTTACTCCCTCTATCCCAAATTATAAACACTTATAAAGAAGATTCAATGTGTTTAAATAAAAAATACTTTGATAAAAATAAAATTTTATTAATGATACTTTTTTAATATTATTTTTCTTATATATTTTTTCTCTTTAATATTATTCTTTTATTAATAGAGTATCAAATGAAGGTATTTTTAAAATTTTATATTTGTATTTTTAAAAAATAAGATTGTAAAATATATTTAATAAGTTTTATTTATGTGAGATTTTGCTTAAAAATATTTTATAATTTAAGATAGAGAGGAGGTATATTGTTTCTTCGAGTACTGGCCAAAATTATAGGATATTCGTTCTTCATAAAGTAATTGTCAGGATTGTTATTATAAGTTTTGATTGTTTTATTTAGGAAGGATATTTTTATGACCCATCAGGACTATTAACATTTAAAAATCATTTTTTATATTATATTTTATGATGTTATATTAATGTATTTCATATTTACATAATTTTTAAATTATCTTTTAATTGTTTTCACAAATAACAAGTTCAAAAATAAAATAAGGAGTTTATATTTTTTAGCACGCACAAAAGTAACAAACTTTCTAATAAAAATAACAAATTCACTAAACTATCTATTTGTGTATTAAAGTAGTTGAATCTGACCTAAGTAGATTAACCATGGACAAATTATTATGCTATAAATTCATAGCAGTCTACTCACACTTTGTTTAATTATTGTTTAGAATATTAACACAATATGCCTATCAACTCTATTTTATGGAGTTAGCTAATTGTGACTTTGGTTTGCCTTTCACGAGCATAGTGGTCATGTTAGAATTAGATAATACACAAGCTCTATTTGGACTCAAAGGATTGTTCAATATTATTATTTATTGATCAAGATTTTTTTTCTTTTTTTTAAAGAATAATTAAGATTTTTTTAAATTATGTTTTGTTTGAATTAAAGAAAAAGAGAAACACAAGGATGAGATTTATTATTTTTTTCAGTTTCACATGAATGATTTTCATTTCATTTCTTTATCTAATTTACTTCATCTTATATTATATTAAGCCATCTAAATTTTATGTTTTAATGCATATAAACCTCTAGTAGGAGAAGCAAAGAAGGTGAGGAAGAACGAATGCTTTATTAGTTTCATTCAAATAATCACGAGAAAGACGAATAACGAGTTAATTTGTTTCGGTTAAAAGCAGCTAAAGAGAGACTAAGTGAGGGTGTCTTTTGTTTTTGGGTGGGGGGTGGGGGGGCAAGAAAGTAACGGGAGAGAGGGAGTGGTTCGATAAGGATAATCTTGTCATTTGTTACTGAATTTTAATTTCATTTCAGTATCTAACCTCACAATGAAATTTCAAAAATTCAGAAACTCTCTTTATTATAATTATTTAAAAAAATATAATTTTTAATCCTTATACCTATTTATATTTATATTTTATTATAAATTTTTATAATTTTTTTAATATTTTAGATTTTTAAATTTTTATTTTTTAATATTTTAAATTTTTAAGTGAACAGAGTGCAGCGACTTTAAAAAAATTTAAAATATAAAAAATAAAAATATAAAAAGTTAAAATATTAAAAAAAATATAAAAATTTATAGTAAAATATAAATAAAGTGTGGAGATTAAAAATTATATTTTTTTTTTTTGGACAATGATGATAATGATGATGTGTCCAAGAGTTGCCGCTGAAATATTTTCCAATAATTTTTCCAAACAACCATGGAAAAAAAAGGGGTATGTTGAATTTTCCACACGTCTCAGGAGTCGAAATCAGATGGGTGGGCACATGAGACGACAAACAAGAAACCATGTGAACCCAAAAAAGTGAGGCGATCGATGACTAACAAGACTTTCAGATTCGGAGGCTTTCCTTCCCATCCATCAGTTGACTAACTGCAGTCCGTCGTCCGATCGTCAAGCATTAACATTAATGCTTGCAGACTCCCATCAAAAATTACATTTAAGCCCTTCTTAAAAAAATTTATTATAATAAAAAATTATCAATTTTATGTTGAATATTATCTCATAAAAATTCATATATATTATGATTAAAATTTAAATTTTAAAAAAATTTAAATAAAAAATACAGGTTAAAGTTCAGCTTTTAACAATATTACATACATATTTTTACAAAATAATAGCAAATACAAAACTGAATTGCCCTTATTGTGATGAATTATCTTGAGAGAGACTTAAATGTTATTTTTTTTTAAATTAATATAATCATCTAAAGAGTGTATGCTGAATATATATATATATATATATATATATGATTTAAGATAGTGTTAACTTCTGGTTTTAAGTTCAAGTTAAAGTGAACATGATGATAGTCATTCTTCAGGAAAAGATTGCTCATCATCAGTCTTGACAGATCTAGCAATGTCGAGTTTTTTACATTAAATACATTCAATGATAGTCTACTTTATTAAAATAATTTAAATTATCTAGTTAGACATATTTCAAATTTTTTATTTTTATGATCTATTTTTTAGTTTTTAGATGTAAAATTTTTATTTATTTTTAACAAGATAAATGAGTAAATTACTTCTTAAACATTAATTTTAATGGCATCATAGACTATGAACTTATTTATTGTGTAAATTGTTCCCTTAGTTTATGAAAAAGGAGCAATATGACCCTACTATTAGCAAAAATTAACTTTAATTGTTAGATAACCAAAAAATGACAAAAAAAGACCTTAAAAGTTACAAAAAAAAAAGGACCAAAATTTTTCTTTCTTGATATTTTCTATTATTTTTTGGATCTTTGTCTGTAATTTTTGGGTCTTTTATTTTAAATTTTTGGTCATTTTTTATAATTTTTGAGATTCTTTTATGTCATTTTCTGATCAAAGTTAACTTTTTATTAATAGTAGGAATTAGATTTTATCATTTTTAAAAGTTAAAAAAATAATTTTCATGATAAACAAATTTAAAGTTTATGGTACTATTGAAT